GGCGCTAAAAGCACACGTACTTTATATAAGTCTTACGTCACAGTGCCTCCCTCAGCAGAGTTTTTCACAGAGGAAGGACAAGTCCCGTATTTGCTTGCTTGGGTATAAGAACTGATGCCAAGCACAAGTACTGTATTTGTTGACAAGATAAAGTTACTGAGCATAATTTACAAGCGAACTCCACAACCTGAAAACTTGAGACATTTGGCAGCTCGCACATTTTGGCTCAGGCAGTGCAGTAACAAGGGTCTACTGTGAACGAGCCATGAAAATGGGATAGACGCTCTTGGACCATGCTGGCAGGCCGCCAATCTGAATGAATATGCAAGATCATTTTACAAAGTAATAACTTATCTACTTTATCTAGACTAGGTATAAACTGAGAACATAAGACTGTGGATGTCATTTGTAAAGACACAGATAACTGAGTGTGCACATGCACCAAAACACTGATACAATCAATTAGCCTGCATATGAACCATGATTCCACTGAAATTGTTTTGTAGCGGTCTCATGCTCCTTTCATTCAGAGATTAGTGGTTACTCTTATGATGTTAGAGGTGGAAGACGAAGCGACAGGAGATCTGGGTATTATTTACAGGTCAAGATGGAACAGAGACACGTCTGTGAGAGCTAAAGTGAGCATGGACAGAAGGTTACTGACACAAGTGAGCACTGATAATGAGAATGTGTTGAGAGTGTGTTATGAGCTGTACCTGTTCTCTTCCTCGGTCTATCCTGTCCATCAGCTGGTCTCCATTCTGACGCTCCTCATCCAGGTTCAACTCCAGCTGAACAATCCTGTCCTGCAAAACAGTTACATCTGTACAATCAGTAAGAGTTGCTGTCTCAGTCTGATCTTTATAAATATTAAGTTTAATTGCTCATCATTAAGGTCTATTCAGTTGTTCAAATATTGTTTAGGTCTTCTGGAATTATTATGCTAATTACAAAACTTGTATGAGTGGCTTTACTTATGTACCTGCATGAGTTTGATTTGTCGGGATTTGTCTTCTCTATTATTGGCGTTTGTCTCCACCTCCACCTCCAGATCATGCACTTTTTTCTCCAGCGTCTTCTCCTTGAGCACAGCTTCGTCCCGTTCCCTCTGACAGTGCTGCAGATCCTCCTCCCGGCGTGACAACTAAAACAAAGTGCGCCAACATAAGTCAAAACATTCCTGAAACATCACTGCTGGCTGCTAACTCAGTTTATTGTCCTGTTTAAATACCAAGAACACATCTTGTTATAGAATAAATTGTATAACACTGGTTGTCCCTGATGATCAGTGAAACTTGCCTAGCAGGGGTTCAGTGTCCAATTAATGGATCCTCAACATGTTATACTTCTACAGTAAGTGTGGATTAACCCAGCACTCCTGTTAAAGTCCATCTCTTGATTCAATATGTCACCTTGCTTCTTTTCAAGTATTGCAGAAATAATCTATAATTTGCTTAGAGAAATTGTTATATTTCCTCTGAGTGACTAATGAATCCAGTACAGCTAGTATTTCTCTCTGCAGCAATTCTCCCACAGCTGGAAAACTGGCCCCACTGCTTAATGCCAAGACAATGAAAATTTATCATCTGCACTTATTTCTCACCCAGAACAAATATTTGGCAATTAGGACAGAATTATTACACATTTCATCTTGTAAATACTTAAGTAAGACCTAATTTAAGCCATGGAGATAAAGCTGAGCACACAAAGACTTAGTAGGATGTCAAAAGGGATAATTTTGCATTCGCTCTCAGGGCAGGATTAGCTATCCATTTGGGAATGAATGAATTAATGTGTTGAAGAATTAAAGAAGTAGATCTAGGAATGAAATGATTTATCACCTTCGTGGCCACATCTCTCTTGGAAAAAATGACTTAAATCTACAGGAGACTTTTACCTGGTTAAATAAAGGAAAAGAAGGATGTGTGCAGCCTACATTTGTGATATGAGTAATGGTCTGCCAAATTCACATGGGTGAAGACTGATGGAGCATTTGCGAGCAGCTGGAAAAGTGGACTCACTAGGCCCAGTACAGAGCAATCAGTTTCTCGGAAGAGGCAGGGGAGGAGGATGTGAATACAGTCAGCACAGCTTTCACAACAATGATATCACAACACTGACATCCTCCTGTTCCTGTGCAGCAGCTGGACTGAGATACATTAGTGTGGATACAGCCCATGAAAAAAGGAAGACCCTGGATGCTGAACTTGTCCTGACATATTAATTTCAACTGCACATGACATGTGTCACTGAAAGCCCATATCAAGAACATCCACATCAGTAAATCTGTAAAACTCAGAGGCAGTCTGTTAGGCATGTCAAACAAAGTCTGCAACTAATGACTACAGGGTCCAGGAGATAGTTCCTCCCAGAGAAGGAACTGTCAACACTCTGCAAGGAGGCCTCTTGAGCTTAAAATCAAGACACAGCCTGCCAAAACCTCTAATAAAGGCACCCACTGGAGCTTAAACAGACCAAGGTTTGCTTATAGGGTGAAAGCCTGTGTGTTTCTTTAAGGCCTAACAAACATTTCCAAACTCATTAGACTTTTGCAAACCTCTCTAAATGTTTTGAAATGGGCACTGTTTACATCAGCTTTACAGTCATCTTCAACCTTTATTGGCACTTTGCCTCTTCTAAGGCACATTCTCCCTAACAATTTTCAAGGCTGTGTGCAGTCAGCAGAAATGTGTATAACATGAACCCTGTGCTCACGGTGCCTTTGTGTGCATTAGAACAGAAGAGACACATAATACAGCTCACTGATGTAGACTAGGGTTCAAATTAACTATTAAATATTCTTTTGTTTTTCTCTTCTTTTTCAATAAGCACATCAAATCTCAAAACAGGATACTAAAATGCACTGAAAGTGTCAGATTCATATTATCCATTGATTATCCACACTGTATAATTCACATGGTCTCAGAAAGTTGTAGATGGATGCTAAAGCAGGAGCTCTGAACCGTAAAACTGCTTGTGTGGTCGATACAGTCTCAAGTACCCTACCTCACTCAATAGATGTTTGATTAAGAAGTATTGGCCACCCACCATCTAACATAAATTGTTAGGTTTCATTATTATGGCCACACAACAAGGGATCACAAAGGATTTTACCATATTAGCCTTTTAATTCTACTGCTGAGCATAAACATTAATTTGAATAAACAACAGAGATCTCTGACTCGACTCAGCTCAGCTACTTCACTTAGTAACTAGGTTTTGGGTCTGAGAGGGCAGCAGGGAGCAAATGCTTAAGCAATGACATCGCTCTCTGAAAGAAGAGGATGATGGTAGTGGTGGGAGAGTTCAAACTGATTGAGTCAGAACAATGGCTCATCGTCTGCTATTCTGCATGGGAGGGTTCAGCTGGCCCTGATTTGACCACTCTCCCCATGAAAGCAAGTGTCAGAATTCAAATCCATCTCCCCTCTGAGAGCCCATTACATTAGTGAGCCTGACGTATCCCCCTGTACCTCTTCCTGCAGGGTTTTGGAAGCCAGGAAGCATTTTTCCAGCTCTTGTCCTCGCTCCTTCAGAACTTTCTGCAGCTCTGTCAGCTCCTTACGGTTCTTCTCCTTATAAATATTAATCTGCTCCTGCAGCTCCCGAGTGGACGACTGGGACGCCTCCACAATATCACTCATCTATAGGCACAGTGAGACAAGGGGTGGGGGGTGTAGAGAATTGTAATAATGTTGAAGCAGCTCTGAGTAAGCCAGGGATTTGATATCATTTTGTCAAAACTGAATTCCTAATTGAGTCTACATACTGAACTGGAATCATCTTGCAGCCTTAAACTTTAACAACAAAAGCTCAATATTTTAATGGTCATTGATGAGAGACAGTCTTCAGGCACTGTTACTGTTTCCACCCTGATAAAGACCTTGTGAGGTCAAAATCATTTGGTCTGTTAAACCTACATTCACTGGCCACTTTATTAGGTACACTGTATGCAATTCAATGCAAAACTTCTGCCTTAACATCTAAGAAGCTTAAAATATCTTAATTTTTGGTGAAATTGTCATAAATGTATAAATTCAGTCATATTTTTATTACGGAGGTTATAGTTAAAGGTGGTGTTGTACTGGACAACATTATATTCAGAAGTGTCTCTATATTTTTGTCCTCCAAAGCTACATACAGTATATGAGAGGGTCAGAATATTAGGAACACCTCTGAATATAATGTAGGAAGGAGGAAGTGCTGCGCTGAGTTGCATAGAATTGTACAGGTGTACCTAATGAAGTGGCCGGTTAGTGTATACTGTATGTCTGACTCTATATACAGTTTCTCCATGCTCTACCTTAAAGTGCCTGAAGAATTTTAGAGACTCATCAGAATCAAAGATTAATGACTCAATGTATTTTACCAGCTCAGAATCTGAGAAACTCTGCTCGTGAGGTTACTGCTGGTACGGCTGTTACTGTACTAGAGACTAAAGTATACTCGCCTCCCTCTGAAGTTTTTCCACTGTATGGTCTAGCAGTCTTCTCTCATCCTCTATGTTGTTCTTCATGTTTTTGAACTGCTCCTTCTGAGCCCTCTCTTCTTGTAACCTCTCCTCTAGCTCCTTGTGTTCAGAGTTCAGCCTGGTCAAGTTCCTCTAGAGAGGAAAACAATGTTAAAGATGTCAAACTGAAACCACATCTGTACATGCAGTGCAGTGCAGTGTTGCTGGTCTCACCTGCACATCCTCCAGCCGGATGGTCAATGCTCGGTTGGCACGTGACATCTCCTCTTCTTGCTCCTTAATTTCTGCCAAAGACTCTTCCAACTGCTTTTTCTCTTTCTGTTAAGTGGGCGTTATCACAGACAACGCTTTCATTTGTTGAATTAACTCTGGCAGACAGTTCAACTAAACCAACAATATAATAAAACTAGCATCACTCTCTTATTGTGATTCCTCACCTCCAGCCGGCCAACTCTGTCTCCCAGCCTGCTCTCCTGCAGCTTGGCCTCATCAATGATGCGGTTGAGTTTGGCCACCTCATTTTCCAGTTCCTGTGCCCGCCTGCGCAGCCGCTCTGCCTCTTGGGTCAGCCGTCCTGCCTGGCTCTCCACTGCACCCTTGGCTGCCTCCACTTCGGCCTTCTCAAGGACCACTGCTGTGCTGCTCTGCAGACCAGAACAAGACACAGGGACTTAAAGTCAAAGGAAGCCAAAGTCTGTGAAAGATGCAAGATGGAACATTTGAGACTTCTTCAAATGTCTCCTGCAACAAAAAGCCTTTTGTAGTGTTCAGTTTCTTGCTGATCTTTTGTTCCTCTGGAGACACAGCATAACAATGGTCACATGTGATTCTCTCATACTTCATAATAAACCACAAATAAAGGCAACTACATTTGAGCTTTCACTAGCCTCTGCTGATTGAGGGCCACATCAAATCACCAAGCTCAAGAGGCAAACCTGCTAATCTCCTTTGTCACTGGATTCAAAGCTATCCTGAAATATTTTGAGATTCCCTCACAATAGAATAGTTATTCTGCACTTCTGGCATGGTAGTGGCAGAGAGAGTTAATGAGGAGCCCTGTGAGATCTCCAAGAGTCTAAGTTCATGAATGAACAGTTCGCTTTGGCTCTGACATTTCAGAGTAGAGTGTTATGCAGGAGACAATGAACAAAAAGACAACCATTCAAATCAATCTTTATGACAAATAACAGGTTTCAGCTGTGATGATACCTTTTAAGTGAATGACAGCATAACTAACAAACTTGTCGACAAAATATTTTGGTGCAAAGGTGGAATGTTAAACTGGTTTGGCAATTTCCTGTTTATATCAGTGAGGCATACACAGAAAATCTGTAGTTACAATTCCACTGTATAACAGAGGTGAAACATTTAAGTAAATGAACTTAATAAAACTGAATGCTGTCTTCCTACACAGAGACCAACTATTGTTACCTCACATCACACATTGCTGACATCCAAGTACATCACTGTGCACACCAAAACATGAAACCACACACACCCTTCTACCCTGAAGAACACGCTGACAGAGTCATAACCCAGCAGTGAGACAAGGACGAAAGGTGGCACAAAGGAATGCATCAGTACAAACAGTTGACCTAAAAACTGGTTTGCTATCTTGAGCATTAGTTCTCTGACGTGCTACAAAAATCCTGCTAAATTACATCACAGCTAACAGGAAAATATTATTTCCCTTTTACACAAAAACCCCAAGGGTCTCTCTTAAAAAGACAAGTTACCAACTGCAATCGGTAAAAGTATACAGTACTAAAGTTACAGTAGTGAAGCGAGACATGTGAAGGTTGTGGCAAAGTATTTATACAAATAAATAGTTTAGTTTCTGCTGGAATACAAAGTCTTATTATCTTTTGTGACTAATGTGAAAGGCACTTGGCCTGCTTGTCTCTTCGTCATCATACATGAATAGAGACACCTCCTGTACTAGTAAGGTGACGGGTGCCTCCCGGCTTCAGTGCAGGCCAGTCAGACCTGTTTCCCCTGTTACCACAGAGCCGCCCTCATCTCTGCCTCACTGGGTCATCTACTGTAGTCACAGGAGTGAGAAGCTCTGTACAGCCAAATCCAGAGATAACACAGTTTCACCTCTCAAGATTAGCCAAACATATGATTGAAAGATAATGCTGAACACAGTGTAGAAATCAATATTTCTACATACATAAAAGGTTCAGTAATAAATGTGGCTGTAACTGTGACTGTGTCGAGGGTTGAAGCTTGGGGATGAAAAAAGGGGTTGGGTGGGATGAGGGGCTACTGGACATGCAGCTTTCACTATACACAATAATAAAGCACTGATACTGTGTGCCAAGATTGTGTCAGTGCTTCATTTTAACAACATACACAACAAGTTCAGCCCTGACACTGTTCTGCTTGTCCCACTTCCCACATTGGGTCAAGTTAAAAACATGTGCAAAGCCACCGAGCCAGAGAGAGCGAGAGCCTGTAGTGTCTGTGTGAGAAAACACGAGGGGATGCAGTGAGAGTATGCAAAGTGATTTTAACAGACCGGAACTGTTAAAACCATCTATGAACCAAGCCATTTCTTACAAACTAGTTATTTCTCTTCTTATACAGCTTCACTAACTTTTCTTATTCACTACTACACAAAGTTAATTATTCACTGTAGGTGTTAAAGTGCAATTAAAGATTACCTAACAAACACTTCATCAAGTATTAAAAAATGATTTGCTGAATTTGTGTGCTTTATAAAATTCTTTATCACCTCTTTAAATAAACACATGTAACAAAGACAACACAAGCTGACTTCAGTTTATGAGTACAATATCAGAAGAGTATGTGGTAATATAAAACCTCTAGTCCTTTTTGTCCTTTCTCCATTACTCTAACTCAGAGTTTGACTTGGGTCTTCTTGTGTAGTTACACTGTTTGTTGAAGGTTGTACATTAACTCATTCTGTGCAGTCTTTGAAGTGCAACTCCAACGATGAAGTGAAGTGCATATCCCAGGTTGTCCACTTTCACATTTTAGCTCGAACCTATCAGGTAGGATATGAGGTATTGTCACTATTGAAAATGTAGCTTATTTGTCAAAGTTTTTTGTTTATGCCTTGTAGCTTCCTGACGGCAACAGGAGCTGTACGGGTTCATATCAAGTCAAAAGCATTACACGGCACTATTAGATATGCAGCAGTGCATTACAGTCGCTGTTAAATCACTAATTTTCCAAACAGATAAGCAGTTTCCAGTTCTCTAATGTCCCTAGTGCAATCAGCTGCAAACACTGTGAACCAGGATGCACTGAGAACACATTTCCTTCAACAGCAGCTGAAAAAACATGCTAACTGTGATGTCACTCACAAAAACTGGCCTATGCCAACACTGATAAAGTGACTGGCTACTGAGGCTTATACAACATTTAACAAGAAAAACCTACTCACATTTCCTCCTTTTCGACTTTTGGTGAGTTTCCGCTGTTCCCTGCTCTTCCTGCTGTCAGTCTTCACTCATACGTTTCCTGCCGCTCAGTTGTTTGTTCTTTCCTGGGCTGTCAAAGCTCACTTCATTCACAATTTTCATATATCGCAGACATCTTTCCTTGGGCGTACTATGAACCAATCAGTATATTCTCTCTTTTAGACCAATCCTTCCACAACCATAACCTCCACCTGCAGACAGTACTACTGATTCAACATAGAAAGCTTCAGCATCCATCTGCTGTACCAGTACTTTGTACCACCACGAGAAGGATCGTAACATTCATGTACCCGAACACTATGTTCTACGTTAACATTTCTAATGCAGTGGACTGGGACAATCACCAAAACTTTCTCTGTTTCCAGAAAAACTACTCACTAAAATATGAAAATTTTTACTTCTGTAACTCCAGTCAAAAAAAAAAAAAGATTAGAATATTAATATTTCAGTTACTCCCTCCAGAAACAACTCATTGTTACTTTTGTTGTAACCATAGGAAAGACTGATTTGAAATCTGACATTTTAATATTTGTAGTTGTTGCACAAGCACACATCACTACATGTCATTCAGCAGCACCATAAGCTGTAAGCCAGCCTGGAAGATGAATGAGCAATGAGCCAAACACTGATACTGTACCTTGCAAGCACAAAGTACTGCATGTGTTATAAATACAACAGCTTCTCTCATTAAAAAAGGTACCCAGCCCTGAGGGTAACTGGAACAGAAGGCCTGTCATGGACTGAAAGGAAGGATTGAAGAAGAAATTAAAATGTGACACCTGAGAAATATTGGCATGTCTTTGGACTGCTTTTAAGCGAGTCTGTACAAAGCCAAACTGTATGTTGGCTGAGGTGTTTGGTTATCACAAGGAATTAAGGAGACTAGTGAAACTGTGCCTGAAGAGACACTGATGTCTCTGATTTAGAAACCTTTTCCTGAAATAACATGTTTTGCTGAAAGGTAAATTCTCACTGAAGTGTCATATTTGACTCTTTGATATTTGGTCATTGACACCTGTAACATGAAATACTCTCAGTCAGAGCTTCAGGTCACAGTGGTGCCCTGAAAAACACAGAATAAAGTAATTTTACCAGTATTTCACTCCCTGGCAACCAATACAATCACAAACTGCTTACATCCCAAACACTGTAGGGAGACTTTCTGTAAGACAGTACAGTCATATCTGATACCATTTTTTTTCTTTTCCTGGGACCAGATTTAATCAGACCGTGGTCTGTGATCTCATGTTCACCACTTTGGGGTTTCTGGATATTAAAAATTTTAGATAATCTAATCTACAGCCTTTTATTTTTGTAAAAAAAATCAGCAAGGTCTGACAATGCATTAATTTCTCCACTGTACAGCTGGATCATGCAATATAAAGGCAGGAAATCTAATGTGAAGCTCTGTACCAGATGTTCCACTTCTTAAAAAATAAACACAGGGTATTTATCAAAATTAATTATGCTTCCTGAGAGTAACTCAGACCCTGACTTACAGGCCTCACAGTGCCGATTAAATCAAGCACCTCCATCCTGGCCAAAACTCAAAGGCTCAACAGAAAGCTCAGTGTTCAAGTTTTCCAGGCCAAAGGCCAAAGACGACATAAACCTGCAATCCCAAAATTCACATTCCCCCCAGCAGCTCAAATCTGACGACTAACAGCTGAAACATGGAGACCTCAACCCACACTTTACACATTTACAATCAAGTCCATATGAATGCACTCAAACAGGCAGTTGCCTTAGATTCAAATACAAAATAAAAATGTAGAAAACAGATGGCCAGATCCATTTCTTTGTGGGAGATGAACAGAAAACATGACATCAAAGCAGCATTAAAAAATGACCAGTGCGGAGAAAAAAGAAATCATCAGCAACTTCAGAAGAAAACACACTGACCACTGTTTGATTAACTGTAAACTCTCTGGTTTTAACCACTAGCATCAAGTGTTCTTTGTTATCTCAGCAGGTGGTGTGTGTTTAACTTGACTCCTGCAAGTTGTTTTGGCAGATTAGACTCCCGCCACATCACGGCTCACAGGCAGCAGAGTAAAGGAACAATAAACACAAAAATCCAGGCCACTGCCTGGTTTCACATAGATCTACCCCTCAGACAGTCACATGCAACAACATTTTCTGAACTGAACACATTCAGACTGGTACTGAGTTTCTGTTAAAGTGTTTAATGTCATCAGTGTATAAAGTTATCACTATTTGAAGGCACAAACAACCCAATACTCCAACAAGGATAAACAGCTAAATTCTTGCCGCCTCTGTCAAGCTCTTGAAAGTTTCACTGTCATTTCATTCCACACCGCCTCCTCTTTCCAGTCGCCTGCTAAATCTGCTCCTAAAGCTAAGTGGCAAATATAGTGCTATCATCAAACACACAGACTCATGCAGGAGCATTTACTTTCTAAACAAGCCTGAGGGGGAACTCTTCTCTAGGCTACCTAGGTTTGATGATCAGACAGTGAGACTTCAGCTCCCGGCAGAGATTACTCCAGAGGCAGGGTGAGATACGTATGAGAACGGCACAGGCCAGAAAATGAACTGGTGAGCGGGAGATCACTGCAGAGTCTTGTGTGAAAACTGTAGAGTTAAGAAAAGGGAAAAGTAACATTTGGGACTGAGGTTTCAGATGAGAGCATGATAACAATGTGGCCATGTTACACACCATGGCTTGAGGCTGTAGGTAAAACAACAAGAACTAGAAATGGTGTGATAAGCACCAGGCACTGTCTTTACATTGAGGAGGGGAGAGAACAGCTGAGGCCTCTAACACTGAGAATCTAGAGCGCTGCGGAGAATGAGATGCAGCGGCAGCACCCTGAAGAGGCGTCAATGAAAAGATCTGAGCCGCTCCTGTAAGTCAGAGCTGGAGCAGGGGGAGGGAGGAGGTCTGTAGGGAGCACATTCTCCACGTTGACCCCCAACATTCCTGGAAACAAATCCTTCTCTCTACTGGCCCGCATCTTTTGCATACCAGAACAGGCTGATACAAAAGATCAAATCCACTTCCAAATGTGCAGAGACACAATCACAATAAAAAAAAAGCACAGTCAAATACAACCAAGATTTCTCAACCTCAATAAAGTTCCACAGATTTCAGTTCATTGAAAACACAATGAAGCTTTCAATTTAAGACACAAAACAGGCCCAGCACTCCTTTTATGGGGGTTGGCCACGCATCCCCTTTTCTACAACATACTGACCCACTTATTTAGCATGTCCCTACCCCCGCTGCTGTTATTGTCTGAAGGAGACTCACAATTCATCACTGACTGAGATCCCCAATTACCCCCGCTCTTTCAGGGCACAGAAAGAAGAGGGACATGACACAACTCTGGAACAGCAGCTCATTAGATTAGTGATGGCTTGCCACTGCAATTAACCAATATACAGAGAAATTTTGTGCTCCAGTTTCCAGCATTCTTCTCCACATGGGCTGCGCTGTGTTCACCACAAATTCACACAAAAGAGAGAAGCAGCACTGTGGTTGGAGATGGAGCTGACAAATAAAAAGATGCTCAGTTCACCAGTTCACCCTGGCTTGCCTCTTTTTGTCTGACACCCTTACACAAAGTAGAAATATGATATATGAGATAATAAGCAGCTTTCCCTTTTAATATCAGCCTCTCTCATGACTTGTAGTTTAGACTAATGGCCACCCGTGAACATTCTGCACTCAAAAAGGCCTCAGGTCATATTTATTTGAATACATTGCAAAGCACAAACAACCATTATGTGTATAATATCTAGAATTACGCAGCCTTTATTACTTACATGTTTTCAAATGCATGATTGACTACAAAAATTATTTAACTTGTCTTTTAATATGTTAATATATTAGAGCTCATCATCCATTTGCTACAACATAAATAGCATATATAGATAAAACATAAATGGTGTAACTGTATAGATAGATGAATGTGAGGTAATACTTCTGCATAATAACTGTTAAGCATAGTCTTCTACAGTAATCCACAAATGTCTCACAAAGTTTAACCTGAGGACGGGATATTACTTGACCGAGAGCTCTCTTGTGTCTTAAAAGAAAGACAAAAGACAAACAATGACTTACATCTTGCCAAGCGTTTACAAAGCACTGAGGGTAAACCCCTGATGCTTCCTTGGGGAACAGTGCCTCTGTTCAACCACAGGAAATGTTCTCACAGACTCTTTCTGCATAGCACTGCTGTGGACCATCAAACAGGCTAGCGGAAAGCAGAGAACAAGGACAACTTCCAATCTTTGAGACAAACAGGACACATGTGAGTCACACAGTAGCCTGCTGGAAACAATGTGTGTCCTGCCATACACGGCTGCTCGTATCATCTTAACTGACCTTCCTTCATTTTTTAAACAACGGCTGACAAACCCTCTCTGTTCTAAAGAACTGCTCACTTCTAACATAGTGGCTGGTTGATCACTGGTAGTATTCTCCAAATGCTGTTTGATAACAGGGGGTTCATGGAGAAATCTAAACCGTAATGTGCAGCTTTATGGATGTTTATTTTTTACCGGTGTACTGAAAACATGAATGTCTCTGTCCATTGCTGAGCATATAAGGGGCTTTCCTTGATACTTGCTAAGTAGTGACCTTGCCAACTCCTAACAATTTCAAACACAGATAAATGTGTCACACATTATCCTTGTAAAACACTCCTCCACAGAGGAACAAGCTCAAACATACAAAACCACATTCACACTTGACCATGAAAAATGATGACCAGCTAAATGAAAGTGTTACATAGCGTTTCTTTTTCATTTTATCAGTTTGCTCTGCTGACACAGTTCAAGTATGTGAACTCAAGCTGAGCTAATCCAATGAAGTCACTAAAAAAAACATACAACCACCCTGTCCTGCTGTAGGAGGATCTTCTATCCTACACTGATCAGTGTGTTTACAAGCTAGTTTTCACTGGAGGAGACTGAAGAGTATTGTGCTGAGTGCAAGTCTGTGAAATTTTGCTATGTTTTCCAGTGCTTCCTGTAAATCCTTTCCAGAGATATACAGTGATACTGTCGATCAAGGACCGGGGAGTGTTTCCACTGTCGGAACCAAACAAGTGGTATACCTCATACTTCGCCCTACATAATCCCCCCCCGTTGCAGACCATCCTGCTTTGTAACGAACTGGCTGATTGAAACAGCCGTTGAACAAGCAGAACACAAACTTGAAGAATTGTAACACCTTCACTGCTTTGCCTGCAGTCCACTCATTGAAGTCCCCATTTTGCCTCTAAACCAGTGATTGAAGACCTCATTTTACCTTTAAATCAGTGGGCTGAGGGCAGTGGAAACAAACACAGAACTCATGACGAGCGTTACTCAGCTTGACAAGCTTCGGTAGGTTCCTATAAGAAAACAATCCCTGAAGAGACTTGAGAAACACTGGTGTCTCAGTATTTTGATACTCAATGCCACAGCTGTGAAAATACTGTAAAGGTGTACAGGGTAAATGACATCAATTAAAAGCAGCACCTCAGCTTCTCATGACAAACCTGCAATGCAAAACACACACACACACAGATACAGCTCCTCTTGATGAGATACTCCTGGATGTTTCTGGATGGGGCAGGGCGAGAGTGAAGGAAATGAGGTGGGTGAAACACAGGGAGTCAAACTGGAGGACAGGGGAGTGGAGAGAGTTAGACTGATTACCTGCTTGGACTCCTCCAAAGACATCTGCAGCTTGCTTATTTCCTTCTCATACTGCTCCTTCATCTTGTCCACCTCCTGATCGTGAGCGGCCACTTCCTCCTTCAAGGCTCCTTTCAGAGCTGTCAACTCCCTCTCTCGCCTCCTCAGCATTTCCTCCTGATCCTCCTTGGCCAGGAGAACTTCCTGCATCTCCACCTTCAGATGCATCATGTCCTGTGGGAAATGAAGACAGCCTGTTAAGTTTTTATCATGTGTCTGTTGGTTAAACAGACTTTTCTCAATGCAAGCAAATTTATTAAGCTATCTAAAGATCAACAATTTGTAGTGGTAGACCTAAAAACAGACCCAACAGCACTCTAGAAATATAGTCTCTTTACTGTGTTACCCTGCTTGTTTGTTCATTTATTCTGTAGTGTCTCCAAAGAGAAATCTTTCACCACACCTTTAGCAAACTAAAATGCATTCTGTTATTTCAGTGTGATTGTACTGCGGTATAGGATGTAAGAAAACCCCACTCAGATTGACTAGTCTCTACACTATTTGCTTTAAACCTTCAAATACAACGTGAAACAGCACCTTAATGTTAACTTATTCCAAGGCTAAATTTTACCATATGGTTTTATGTTTAGTTTTCAAGAGGCATAATAGAAAATCATTCATCTTTTATAAGGTCTTTTTTCCCCTCCAGAACAAGGAATACTGTGCATTACCGCCATAATGATGTCTTTCTCTCCATCAGCAGCTGACGTCTTGGCTGAGTCAAGCTCATCATGCATCTCTGACAGCTGGTCCTGCAGGTCTCTGATCTCTGTCTGGTACTGTTCCCTCTCCATCTTCACCTGAAACAGCCTGGCACACCACACAGCATGTCAACACACATGCACTCCCGCACACCCAAACCTTAATGTGGACATACAAATGGAAACACCTGTGCTGGGTCTGAATGTGAGGTCTATAGATTACAGAGGTTAAAAGGTATTCCTGATCGACAGCAAACCAATAATGCCCAAACTGCCTCTACATGACAACACTGGGTGGAGGGGCCAAGCGATTTGAGGCTCCTCAAACAAGTCACCACACAGTAATGTGGACTAAAGCAGAACATCATTTTCTGCTGCAGAAACAAAATCAGAGGAGCCAAAATGTTACATATTTTCATCTCAAAGATGTTACTATAGCCATCTAAGAGACGGAGAACACCAAACAAAGCCAGCAAGCTATGAATGAGGCAACACTCCGAAATCAGTCGAACAGTTGTTACTGTATGTATAGCTGTCAGAATGACTAGTAAATCAGTCACCAAGCACAAATTAATATAGAAGGTGACAGATTAATCTAACAAACTAGAGGAGACAAAACAGGTTGTACAACAAGACAGAGGGACTAACATGGTAAGATGGAGATGTCAGTAAAGGGAGCCGTCTTCCTCTAAGCCAAACACTTCTGAGTTTAACAGAAGTAAAATACTGGCATTGACAATTAAGTAGTCAATTAATAGTCAAAAGTGTGGAAATGCTAAATAAAGTTAAGCTGCTCAATGAATCTATGTTGGCCTGCCATTCTCCAGCACTGTCATTCCGCACTTACTCTTCCACCGTGTTCTGCAGCTCGCCCTCCGTTTTGGCCAGTTTTTCCTTCAGTCGCTTGCACTCCTCTACACTCCGCTCCAGCTCCTGCTGCAGCTCCTTCAGACCTGCTGCCATCCTCCTGTCACCCTGATTCCTCTGAAGGTGAAAACAGAAATGTTGATACAATATTTTGATAGAGTTACATATATGCACAAAGGTTTCAGCATAAAGTTTAAATTGATCATGCCAACTTAGTATCTCAATGTCATTTTTTTCTTTGTTAACATTGTCTGTTTTAAATACTGTAAAGGAGAATCCATACTATATAAAAAGAGCAACATGTAAAAATAAACTGAGAACTTACCCTACATTCCCAAAGATCTCACTTAGTTTAAATAAATTAACTATTAATGCAACAGTGTTTTGAATTCCTACTTACTTCATTAATATACCCACACACTACAGAATTACAGGTTTCCAAGTAACCTGTTTATTGTGTTAGTGTCCATGAAATCATCTTTGTGTTAGGTTTAACCAATTCTACTTCCAATCAGTAATCTGAAAATATCTCTTCAAAGTCAGCAGGTTAAACAGTAATCCCTTAAATGTCCTTATCAACTAAACTCCTAATTAAAGGATATTCTCTAACAACCAGTTCAGCAATAAACTGACATGCCAACATAAACAGGATGGTGTCAGAGGCACAGCTGCAGTTAAACTGTTGTTACCCTGGTTTGTTCCTCAAGTTGTCTCTTCACTTCGGCCACTTCTTTCTCCAGTTTAGTGTTTTGCTCCTGCAGAGCTTTGGTCTGTGCAGCAAGGTCCAGGGACTGAGAGAAGAACACAGACATGTTAGAGATGGTTATTTCTTACCGATCCACTATAGATAAAAATGAAAACTGAATGTTTAAACTCCAGCATTAGCAGTCTGTTAACATAAATATTCCACTGCAAAGTAAACAGTCCGAGGTTTAAAGCCTCACACCCTGAGATCATATGTACACTGTTTTACAGGTCGCATTAACTGGATGGAAGACAACGTAACTCGAACACAGTCATGTTAAAAATTCTCACTAGCACAAAGAGATTTGTTGCATTTATCAGCCTCTTCAAAAACCAGTTAGTCCGAGCCAGTCAGGCTTAATTTTGAAAGCAGAAACTCAAACACACATCTCAGCCCCTTTACTGGTAGACAGCTAAAGCATAAATGGTAGAATTGCCCCATTACGACCCCAAATCTATGATTTTAATACAAAAATATGTAACAATGTCCTTTTGACATGTAATTGGCACAACAGACAGCAGAGAAGATGTTTTTAAATTCATGGTTTCTTTAACTGTTACAGTGATACAACAGCTTCTCACTTTGGTGTCGCCTTGAGCACTCGCCGTGGCTCGAGACTTCAGTGTCTGTATCTTCTCAAAAACAAGGTTGACCTTTCTCTTTGTTGTTTCATCATTGTCATTGCTTCTGCAGACACAGAGACAGACAAACAAGTATGTTAAAACACTCTGGTTATTAAAGATTACAAAAACCCTCTCTCAGTGTTTTGATGAAGAGGAATTATTTCGCAACTGTTCTGTGAACAGAGTAACTCTTTCCAATCTTGGACAGAGTCAGGAAGGATCGTGCAGCTTTGATGTGTCACTTCACAGCACAAACGGCCTCATTACACTCGTCCAATGAACTATAAGGCACATGAGTAGAAGCACCAAAAGTATGAGCAACATTACAGTATTGCTGTCACCTGGATTGCTTTATCCTGACATAAGCATTTACACTCATTTAGTAGTGTTGTTTATTTGATTAATTATTGCAACAAAAACATAATTTGTATCAAACTTTCTTCGTGATAAAAAAAAAAAAAAATAGACTTGCATTTCATCACAAACCCAGCCACACCCGCAAATGTTCTACCTCAGGTCTATTTTCTTTGCTGGTAACATAGTTTATGTGTCAAATGCTAACAATATTGTCCTGGTCAGTAAATTTCCTAAATATCAACTTCTCTGGAGCTGAGAAAAGCAGCTTTGTCTTTACAAGCATTTTTGACTTTATCGCCATATGTTTGCAAGAAGAAGAACATTTAAAGTGAAAACATTAGAATCAACACAACTGAAGTTGCACCACTCTCACATGGCAGCGGTGATATATTATTTTAATACATTGCAAGGCTGACACAGAAAGCCAAACCCCCAAACCTCGACTCTCCTCATACAGATGATTTTCATTAAACCTTTATAACCTCTTTTGCCGAATGTTTTTCTTCAGGGCCTTGGGAATGTAGCTCAGTTTCAGCCCCTTCACTTCCATCTGTGTTTCCTTTCCTTTGTCCTATGACTCTTGACCTGTGATCTAACACACCCAAGCAGTTTCCTGTTCATTTTCTACCAGAAAACCTTTAGTACATGCAAGAACTGTGTAAACCTACAAACTCTGGGTGAAATCACACAACTGCTGCAGTACATAGTTTAAACTAACGTTTCTGTTTAAACGTTCACCAAACGCAATCACTGACTGCTAGCTTGAATGAAAGGCTTTATGGTATCCATAAACCTGGCTATATGGCTTCTTAAAGCTAAAGTAAATTTGACCGTTTAGCTCAACATACCTTTTCTTTAGAGGCAATGTGTCTGATTACAGAGTCAAACATTTTTGCATTTCACACTGCAGGCAAAACAGAGAGAAAGAGGGATTCCTCAAGAAAAACTTCAGACAGCTGAATTACTAAGCCCTGGATGGGAGGGTAAGAAGAACACATTCCATTCACTTCTATCACAAACAGTACCGCTCTGATAAAAACCATTTATGTGTTCCCACAGAACAGTTTCTGCATGATGCATTGCCTTATGGTGCAACATGTTGATTTTGGGCTTCAGGGGGAATAATGGGCTCAGTTCATGATTCAACGAACAGCTATGAATAAAGACTACAACATTTGTTCACATTGTTTTGAATATTAGCAAATAAAGCTGAAAGATTGGTAAGAGCGGAAAAGCTAACTCACCCATCCTTAAGGTAATTGAACAAAATTTGTTTTGCCGTCTCTTCATGTGTTTGTTGTGAAAGTTCTTGCTGACCTTTCAGCAGATCAGGTGTCACCTGGATATGATGGGAAATAGGAGAGAGAGAGATCCTAATGAACTGTGAGAGATCTGACCAAAGTAAGACAAGGTGTCCTTCTCTCACATAACCTCATTTTGATAAGTCTCAACAAATGATGTGCTGAAATAAAATTAGAAGTAAAAAAAAAAGACATTTAAAAACTTCAAATGTAAGATCCAATTATTATGCACCAATTTTTGTCATATTTACCTGTACATCTGCCTCTGTAGTGGGCTTTTTGGCCACAGCAGCAGCAGGCTTTGATAGTGATGTTGACAGCGATGTTATCTTTACAGCTGAAGAGGCACTGTCCTCACTCTCTCTACTCTTGAATGACAGTGAAGAAGACTGAGCCTTTTTGTAACCCTGGATGGAGCCGACACTATTAGAGATGGTGCTTTGGGGGGAGACAGGCGCGCTGGTGACATGAGATGAAGTGCTGGAATCGACCTTACCATCTACACCCATGAGCCAAGAGTCCTGACTGCCTGCAGTTCTCTGCGGTCGTAGCTGTGAGGGCCGTAGGACATGCTCCATTGACGTGCCTCGATAGCGGCTAAACTCATCCATGTAGCCAGAGCTGTCTCGCTGGCTGAAGGCACTATCCACACTGCGTGAGCGTCTCCTGTCCTCTGGATGAATCCTGTTTCTGCGCCCTGCTCTACCCCTGCGCTGGTGGCTGCCATCTTTGCCATCAAACTTCTCAATGAGCTCATCAACACCAGGAATGGAGCCTGTGTCAATGTCTCTGCCTGACCCGGGGAGGAAAGGGATGTAGCGGCGGTTCTCATGACGGTTGATGGAGTCTCCATACAGGGCCTCCATCTGTTCATCCACCAGTGCCTTAGAGACCGAAGGGGAGGAGGAGTGGCGGGAGCGGGAAGAGGACTGAAGAACTGGTCCACTAGAGTCAGTCCTGCACAGAGGAAGGACATCAGGATCTTGGTGGGTGCGATCAAGGTTGGAGTTGGCACTGCTCATGAAAGTGGGGGATCTGAATGATGTCTTGCTCTGCTCACTCGTGGGACTTGACATAGCGGAGAGCTGAGCCTGGGCTGGAGGCACTGGTTGGTGCTGAGTTTGAGAGAGTGGCTTGGACTGAGGTGGATTCATGTTGGTGAGACTAGGTTTGATCTGTGGCTGAGTCATTTGTGACTGCAGCTTGGTCTGAGGCGCAGAGTGAGGCTGTGATTTTTGCTGAGGAAGGGCTGTCTCATGCAGGCTCTGGGATGGAAGCTGCCTTTTTTCTTGCTGTGCTAGTGCTCTATTCCGGTCCAGGCTTGATGACCTAACATGGGACATTGCAGGCACTGTAGATCTAGAGGTGGAACTCTGTTGCTGGTTCCCAGTCTCAGCCATAGGCCTTGAAGGCAAGCTGCGGAAACCTTTAAGATTGAGGGAGTTGGTCTCTGGATCATATGGCTGCAGTATTTCAGGGTGCTTCTGAAAGTTCAGAAGGGTGGACAACTTCTTTCCTTGGGAATCTGCAACACCATTTTGGGGACCACTGAAGTGCATCATCATCTGAGACCTGTACTCCATGAAGGGGCTGTTGGATCCAGCCTCCTCACCTCTTCTAAAATCATACTCCTGGTGATTCTCAATAAAAGAGCCCTCTGTGTCAATGTACCCATTACTGTTAGGGTCAATATAGGATTGAGGACCCCTGTCCTGATTGTTGAGAACGACATAGGGGTGTCCGTCTATACCCTGGACTCGGATGCTGAGACCATATGTACCAGCTCCATTACTGGTGGGCCTGGATGGGCGGGAGGGCTGAGTGTAGCCTCGCTGTGGTCTGCTGTTAGGAATGCCAGTCGCTCTGTATGACTCCATCAGGAATGTAGAAGGAAACTAAATCCCTCGCACGGGATCAGGTGACCCACCTCTGCAAGCCAAGATACAGACAGGCTGTATCAGTCAGAGATGAGACATTACACAATAATAATAATCAGTAATACACACAACACACTCAGCCTCTAATAAAAAAAAAACTAAAACCTTACTGGGTTTGATTTACTTGCTTTAATTTTCTTTTCTTGACATTCTTATTGCTCTGTTTTCTCTTTTCTGTCAAATTGCTGAGCTAATGTGATCTGGCCAAATAAAGAATGAGACGATATGTTGCCTGTGCTGCCTATAGGATCTCAGAACTCATACCATCTCTGAACAACATGACTCAAAATCAGCCATATTCCTTTGACCAACAAAACAGCAAGGTACTTTTTAGAGGTGGGTGCATAACAGGTGTGGTGTTACAAAAGCCCCGTTCCCACCAAAGGAACTTTCTCCGGGGAATAGGAACCTTTTGTGGAACTTAGTTCCTCTACCTGTGTTTTCCACCAGAGGAACCACGGTCTAAATTTAATTCCAGGTAATTCCAGGGCATAGTTCAAACTCCCAAAAGTCCCTGATCAGGGGGAAAACAAGAAGACAAGGCCTGCAGTGTTGAATGTCGCTGACTGGTCAAATACTGCACAGCAATGTACATGCAGCATTCTTACAACCCCACTGCCGACCAGCATGCTTTTAATATACCATGCCCGCCCGGCTCAGCTCAATTATAGTGGGCCGATCCGTGCTGATAGAAAAACACCACCAAACACAATGTGCTCTAGGGTTCATGGACTTTAGTTCTTGGAACAAAAAGTATCAGGAACTTTACGGTGAAAACGCGGCAAAAATGACTGTTTGCCATGCATGATAAACAATGCAGGTTAAACAGGTTAACACAAAGGCACAGAACGATAGCAGTCTAATATCAGTCACACAGGTCTGTCGGTCTTCTCTAAACCTCTTTAGAGGGCATTAGGTTTAGCATGACTGTACAATGTTTGTGTGCATACACAACGTAGTTGATCCTTGTAAATGACACTGTAATTTGCAGCCTCCACACTAGAGAAAAATCATGACAAGAGAGCCACCATATCTTACTCGCCTCAATTTTGTCACATTTATAATAATTGCAGGGTTGTCAAAGTTGACAGATTTGCAGCTGAATCATGAGAACACAGTTGGCAATACGATAAATGTCAAACTGTGTACAACTATTAAAGTAAGGTGCTAAATGTTCATCAGACATATTTATGCCCTGGGAGGCCAGTGAAGACAAAGCCATCAGCAGCCGCCATGTGTTTCACTGGACAATGGCCTTTTAATGGGTTCCTGTTTGCCTTGCTGATAGCGTCCCATTCTACCTGATGTTGCAATGCAAAGGCTGGCTGCTTGTAGGGAGGACAGTGATAAGACTGACAACAAAGGCAAAGCAAGACATATCACAGTAGCATAAAATAGGTAAAGACAGACCTGTGGGCAACTATTAGCCTATTTAGAAAAAAATACAGCCCCAAGTAGGGGAGGGCAATATGATAATATGTACCTTCAGAAGATAGATATACACTTGTCAACTGACACGAATATTGCCACAGTCATTTGTTTTAGGTTGCATTGAACCATTGTAGGTGAAGTGGAAAGCACAAATGAGTGGCATAGCTTCACAGCAATGTAGGGTGTTTAACTTAAGTATCAAGTCAGTGATGATCATGTATGGTTGGCCCTGGTGCTGATTAGTACCACATTCTTTAGTGTGCACAGGACAGAGGAAAGAAGGAGGTACAGTAAAGTGTCCTGGCCAAGAGGAAGAGTGCTATTCAGGATAGATTAAAGCTAAAGACAACACAATAGACCCTTTCATCATGTATCCAACAAACATGGGCTACAACAAGCGTGCAATGGTTTTCCTCCCTCCTCCCATTGTATTTTTCACTGCAAAGGGAGGAAACCCTCACTGAGCTGCCCCACTGTCCTTCACAGTGGCCATGCTGCCTTCACTGACCCCTGTGCTGCAGTGAGCACAGGATGTCAAGGATCTGTCTTTGATCTGAGCTGGCAAACATTTATCAAAGCAGATTTTTATCTCCCCCTGTGGACTGAGTCACAGAGAGTCTTGACAGTGCATCAGCAGCAGCACTGACTCACTACACAGAGAAGAGGTCTGTTAGGATGAAGACTGAAACTGAATGTAAAAGCTGAACTTCAAAACAATAAGGGTTTATACTGTGGGACAGACTTCCACTACATTTTAATGGCAAATACTGTACTTTCCACTCCACTGCATTTATCTGACAATTTAGAAGCACATTTAATAAAACAAAATGTAGTAAAATCTAAGGACTTTATTGATCCCCAGAGGGAAATTCACCAGCTGCCCGACAGTAATTCAAGCACATAAGACGGCTAACATTCACCATGAGCACCTTAAGGTATCAGTAATTACAATTAAATCATGTCATTCTGCATAATGACTATTCTTGCTACTTTTTGGATGCTAATACTTTTGAAATTAAGTAACATTTTGAATGCGGGGCTTTTCCTTGCGAGGGAGTATTTTTACACTGTGGTATTGTTATTCTTTTACTTAAGGGAGCTTCTTCCACAGCTGCTGTGGGAAAATATGACCAAGTTACGTAACATGAACAGGAGTTTATATGGAGCCTCAGGTGAACGCAACATGAGCGCCCGACTGTAAACACAATTAAAACCAGTAATGTTTACATTAAAAAGTTACAAACAAAGCTCTGGAGTAAAATCTTACAGCGGCTAACTCAATAAAGTGAGCGGCCGTTTGAGCTGACGCAGTTTATCGACACAGTGAGCGCAACAGGTGGCTGAAACAACCGGCGATTTACTGTAAAACTTGGTCTTTTCTTCACCTTTCTTACTTCCACGAGTCACTTAATTAGCTCAGCTTTATAACAAGCTGAACCTTCCATTTTGGCGTTAAATGTAGTTATTTTGTCTCTTTTTGAGTTTAATACATGTTAACGCTCACAGCAGACCGTTAATACTGTTAACATCAGCTACTCACGCACCAGCGTCTTCTTCCTCTCCGTTTCAGGTGTCGCGGACTACAAACGTCTTGTAAAAATTATAAATGACTGGGCAAGGCGCCCACACCACGGCCGGCTAACTTATTTGGTCCTGTGTTGTTTTCTGACACGCAAAGAGCACCACAGTTTCAGAAGCACGTCCGCCTCTCCGGGCCGCTCCGCCTCCTCAAACAAGCGCACAAACCCGCCCACCCCCGCAAAACCAGTCCGCCGGTGCAGTCCAGAAACTGATCTCACATCATAAAGAAATGTCCCTATGGTCTTGGCAGGACTTCTAGCTTCTAGAAGTTAGCTAGAGGAGCGGACACTGCCATAGTGAAACAAACTCTGTGTCACATTTTAGACCAGCAGAGACAGCAGTAAAAAGCCTATTTATCCGTGTAAGGTGAAGCTGAGCCGACATAAAGATTATAACAAAATGAAAATGAGTTCATACGTTTTGATGTGTGAGGTATAATTTTACTGTGTAGTTTAGACCAGTCATGGGTCGACGTCGTCTGTAACGTTACTACATAAATTAAACCCCGCCAAAAAAACACGCTAGTGAAATGTTTCTGCAACATCGTTAGAGTACAATAAATTACACACTGTAAGATCATAATTTTAAAAAATCTGTTTCTTGTACAAACTAATTATTTTATGTTTTTTAATGCCCCGGGAAACTTCTACACATATATGCTCACATCAGACTTGATGTAACTTTAATTATTGCTGTCTGCATAAATACAATTTACAGCTGTATGTCTTTAAAAACCGAGAGCGTCATCTAGTGGATGGTAAGATGACCTGAGTGCGGTTAGTTAATGAGAAGTTGTGCTGGTGATGCTCACACAGACAGTGAACAGTGAACGCCTCACCATAACTACACTCACCTCGTTGTGAGAGTCCAGCACTACAGCGTTTTAAAAAAGCAGCAGATATTATGCTGAGTGGGATGAAGACATGTTGAAAAATGTTCTGAGCATACTGGAGAGTGAGTATTATTTCTGTAAAGTGCCTGAGGTGAGCATGTATTTTATGAGGGACTGCAGAGCTATGCAAACAACACTGGTGATAAATAATATCTGATGGCTTAAAGTAGGTAGTAGCAGAAGCAGGATATCAGTGATACTGTGGGCACACTGATATGTCTATTTACAGTATTTTCACCTCAAAGAGGCACATACCAAATTGTAGTCCTATGCTGTACGTGCATTATGTATTAAACCACATAATAATTTTACTTCTGCCAGTAAATTTGCTCTTACTCAATGTATGTCTTACAACAGTCATACATCACATATCTACACTTTGTAAAACTGGAGTGAACTGATGTTTCAGAACATTTCAATGGTGAATTTGAAGTTTGTACTTAGCTTTAAATTTTGCTAGTAATTATTCATTTTATTATCAATTAATCTAGCAATCATGATCAATTCCTTGGTCTGTAATGCATCAGGAAACAATGAAAAACATCCTTCCCAGAGGAACAACAGCTTTTTTGTCCTACCAACAGCACAAACCTCAGTTTATTATCACATAAGACAGGGAAAGGCAGCAAGTTCTCACATTTGAGATGCTGGAAATGACAAATGTTTGACATTTTTTCTTAAGAATAGACTTTAATTGATCAATTATCAAAATAAATGCCACATCGTTTTTTTTCCACATCATGTCAGCACTACTTGTAAGGCCTTTACATTTTACTGTATGTACCATCAGTGGGTCTTTCTACTAGTTTAGTTCCTGGATACATGAAAAGGAGATGGACAAAATATTAGAAACATGTAATATCTGATAATATTTTGTCAACAACAATAAACAAATTCCACAAAGGCAGGTTTCCTTTATAGGACACAACAGTTTCAGTTTTTCTGATCATTCATTATATGATACTTTACAATATGTAATTATACAATTTAAGTACCTCCATCTTCACAAAGAATACTTCAATTTCCACGAGATACAGTAAACTCTAAAAATACATTGTAATGCTACCTGACTTAAACTGAGATGATGAAGAAATGATAGAAATGTCTTTTGATAACTTTTGCCACTGTATGATAAATTACATTAAACTGGAGGCCCAGCTGTTACTTTGCCTTTGTAGTGGCCTGCTGTTTATATTTGTGTCCGCAGAGAGGCCGCGCAGCACCGCAGCCTTTAATCTGTGCCACTGCATTGGGTTACAGCAGCACACAACGAGAGCTCTGTTCCCTGCCGAGGTGCCACAGCTGGGACCTCTGGGCGTGCTCAGTACAGTCGTATCCTCATTATACAGTAAGAAACACCACAGGGAACCTACTGTAACTGACATGTGCCAGAGATGCTCAGCTTGTTTGATTTAATGTTTTCCATTGTTGTGCTTGGAAAAATGTCTCTCAACAGACAAAAGTCACTTCTGCATACAATGTGGTGAGCAAATGGCTGTATTTCACATGGTTATAGTAGTTTGCCATTGATACCATGGTAATAGGTCTGATGTCATATTTATCAAGCTGTCTAGATTTTAGAAATTACGCTTGTATTTTCCAAAAACTAGATGCATTTTTAAGCATGAAGCTCCATGTTTGTGCCATAGCTCAGCAAGAAAACACTGATTCTTAAGAACAGGGGAAATTTGGTGCTAACAAGACTGACAGATCCTTGATTTAGCCTAACTCAGGCAGTTGAAGCATCATATAAGCTCCTGTTAAACACATTTTCTCTCATCATTTACACTGACATCACTTTAGAGGGGATTTTTTTTTTTCAGCCAGTATGGACAGGACAGACCATTACAGCGAATAATAATGCTTTCACTGTACATATGGGCATTGGACTTATCCTTTAACCCCTACATTACTAATGTGCTTTTATTGCTCTTGTCCATTTAATAGCATGCATGTAATGATGTACATTATATTTACTATGCCACTTTAGCACTTGGTTATTCATTATTTTATTATTTGTTTTGCAGAATGTTTTATTGCTAACTATGGTCGTTTTATGTTTTTGAGTAATGAAAAACAGTATAGCACTCCAGTAAATTAATTTATTCTTACATTGCCACTTACTGGAGTGCTGTCCTACCTTTCATTACTCAGTGCATTTGTTTGAGGATTCAGCACCCAGTTATATAAACTGGGTTGAGTGTGTTTTCCATTATTATTTTATGTTTTTGCCACTTGTTTTGTGTCTTAGTTATTGTGTATGATATGAGCAAACTCCTATCAGATATAATAAAATAGTAAGATAGTACTGAATCTTGACAATCTGAGATTAGAAATATAAGCATTGGAGAGAAGACAAGAAGTATGTTTGGTACAGCAGCGAGGCAGATGGTCTTACTGGTCAGTGCAGGAGGAGCAGCAGACTCTTTGGTGGTTCTTCAAGGATGTAAGCCATGTACTTTGTGTCAGCTGGCCCTGCAGTTATGACAGGAAGTCAGCCTTCAAACATGGTGGTCCCACTCCTACAGAAAACATGCACACCCACTACCTCCACCAGCCCGACACACTCACATTCCGCTTTCCCTGCAGGGAATATTGAAAGATGACAGTCGTGATTAATGTCGGATCAATGAGCTCATGACAGACAGAACAGCAGTCAGCAGTTTTCCTTGTCTGAGTGTCATCTCTGTCAGAAAACTGTACTAGGATCAGACCTCTCAGGATGTGATGAGTTCTCTCATCCCAGCATCTGAAAGAAAATAATTCTGTGCAGATGTGTGCAGGCGTATGAGATTTACAGCACAACTGTCCTCCAGGTTTAGAGCAGCATTTTCACAACACTTGTGGGATTCATTAACTTCAGTCACAGCACAAGAAGCAGATTGAGGACGGCAGTCTAAAGAAAGCTGCTTGCAACGAAATCGTTCATTAGAAATTAGTTTAGGTTTGTACTTTTTAGAATGGCTACATCAATAATCCCTGCACTTTAGCTTCAGTTCACCTACTTGTTTTGATTTACATGATGCATGTCAAATTAAATTGTGAAAAAAAATCCTGAAATTGACTGACACCCAGAAAATAATTACTAAAGATATAAATTAATATTCAATTAACATAGTCAAAGACAGAATAAATTTGTTCTAAATATTAATTTCATTTCCCCTGTAAATAAATATTCACGCATTTCCGTTTTGAGAGAATGGTTGTCATGCAGAACCAGCCTCTAGTTCTTTTTCTTTGTCCTCAGTGAACCTACATACAAAAAAAAGTAGGACCACAGCACATGCACAGTATGCTGCTATCACACTTTATTAAATAATTAAAAATAGAAACATATTCATAGTACTTTCCATACAGACTACAATGGTCCACAGGTATTATTTTGAAAAAAGAATTACATACTATAAAACACTCATTTGGCCTAAATCCACTGTAGAAATGCCTTTAAAAAACAACCCCCCCTTAAATTAAGCCCCATGTTTCTCAGCTCAGCCACCTTCATCCTTCCTGTGCCTTTTCAGAAAACAAAATTTCATGAAGAGGAGAAAATGTGAACATGGAGAAGGAAGAAAACAAAGAAACAAGCATGTTTGATCAGTGAGAGAAATAAATGCACATACAATCGAGTTTAAAAAAAGATGGCACATTTATTGCAACATAAATGTTATATACATTGTGTTTTTCTGTTGAAAAAGACAGAAAATTCAGATTCTCGTTGCTGCAGGTTGTGGATGTGCATCGACAATACCTTTGATTTGACACAAGAACAAATCTTATATCGACTGACAATAGAGACTGAATAAGCCGGAGGTCGGACTCTGGTGCTCGTACAAAGCCTTTTTAGGTACTACACTATTCCTCTATGTTTACGAGATGCCATTTGTAAATTTCTTGTAATAATGGACAGGTTATGGTAGATAACCGTACATTTTACTATCTAATATAGTAAAATAAAGTAAGAAACTTTTTACTCAAAACTTTTGCTTTCAAAAATCTAGAAAGAGTAATATTTAGAATTCAAGAAATATTCTTACAGTATTATTGTATAAAAGACTAACTACAGTGAAAAATAAGCCAAATGTTTTTTTTTTCCTTTTGATTTTCTTTTTTTCATATATTATACAAGGGAAAACATCTGGGAATACAGCAAAATGCAACTTGGCAAACAGAGGAGCAAAGCAATACAGGAGGAGGAACAGAAAAGTTACAAAAAAATTAAATAAAATAAAAAAATAAAAAATGAAAAGAGAGCAGGGAGTGACATACATTATACCCTCAGACGAAGTTTGCCAATACCATACAAGCTTGTGAATACTGAAATGAAGTACAAGGCCACATTCAGTCAGAGAATACACAAAAACAGCTCAGGTTTTATTTCACTGAAACAAAGTTGTTAAATCACACATCTTTACTGTAAACTCTTGGTGTGGCATTCTTGATTCTAATGTCAGTTGCTTTTTTGCACAGAACACACTCAATGTGGCAGCCTTGTTTCAATGATCGAAGACAATATACAAAGAAATAAATGGAATATAAAGTAAGTCTTAAGACCAAAGACTTAATAAAAGGAGAAATGTCAAGCATGCACACTGATAGGGAAAACAAAATAAAACAATGAGCAATGTCTTGAAATAAAAAAGGAAATCCTGTTTACTCTTTTCGTTCATTATTGTGCTACAGTTCTATTATATTCAACAAAATTCATGACATACAGTATCTAGTCCGGCTTAATGTACTGAGTATATCACGGCTTGGATCAAGACACTGAAAAATAATTTAGTCTGCTGACTGAAACAGAACATTATAATGGTGGAAGCCTAATGAAAGGATCTGTTAAAACACAAATATGCATAACAAAATTTTACTCAGAATAACTGTGTTTGAAATTTAATGTCTCAAGATATTAAGATAAAAAAGTCACAAAGTGATATGTTCATCAGGCCAGGAGAAAATGTGGTTGTTGTTTTTTTTAGGTGAAACTTCTTCAGTAAACTAGTCGTAGAAAAATGACAAAAACAAAAGCCGCCTCTGGAGCATGTAGCTGTCAAAACAAGAATCTCCAAAAATATGTTACCGTTTACATTTAACACTATATGGCAAAGGGTCGAGGGGCAGTGAAGTCCTCTTCTCCTTTAGTTAAGACACTAAAAATATGCAGGGAATGCTAAGGTTTGCAAATAACTAGCTGTATTTTTACTGCTCACTATTGAGGAAAAAAAACAATTAAATCTGAGCTTTCAGTAAAACTAGAGTTTGCCACTTGTTTGTCACCTTTGTAGACAATATTGCAGATGCTGATATAGCTGGGCATATTATTCCACTGAAACTGGTCTAAACTACACAGAAGCAAACACAGGTAGCTTTAGTCACAGACGAGGCCAGTGGCAGAATGAATTAAATATAAATATAAATAATATATCCTCTTTTTTTTAAAAAGTGGGACGCTTTAGTCTTTCACCTCTAACAGCTAATGATAATTTTCAGTTGGGTATAAATATCACTCTAAACTGACTAATAAATTAATCGCAATCTTCTCAGTGCCCAAATATTTTACCCTTGTCTCGGACTGGCCAAAGGGTGGAGTGCTCAGTTTTAATGGCGACACTGGCAAACTGTAGATCAACTGAAAAGTCGTGTACTTCTATTTGAACTTACTTAACTTTCCCTTTAGACATACACTTTATAGCTCATTAACATCTCATGTCATGTCATCTCATTTTCTATACCGCTTAGTCCCAAACGGGGTCGAAGGGGTGCTGGAGCCAATCCCAGCTGGCATCGGGCGAAAGGCGGGGTACACTCTGGACAGATCGCTGGTTCATCGCAGCAACTGAAAAGTCGTGTACTTGTATTTGAATTTCCTTAACTTTCCGTTTAGACATACACTTTATAGCTCATTAACATCTCATTCATGTCATGTCTAATGAGGGGGATGGGCAATCCCAGTGGGCAACGGGCGAAAGGCGGGGTACACCCTGGACAGGTCTGCTCAATAACATAATAAATAGAAAAAACAGAATCAGACAAACAAAAACCATTGCTGTTACAATGCATTCGTCAATTCAGTTTAGGCACAAAGCTATTTCCACATATGGTTGGAGGAGAATGCGAATTCTCCCGATTGTTCAGAAGCAGCACACTTCCTGCAGACAGGGTTTTTCTTTGTGGGGAGAAATTTGTAGCTGGAAACTGGTCATAGGGAGGCCGACGCTTGATTCTTCTTGAATCATAGGATTGGACTGTGTTAGTCTTGTGGTTTTGCTTTAAGTGGTATGTCTCCTCCAATTGGTGTCACAAAGTGTGAGTCCTGTCTGTCACTGGGAAGAAAGGTCGCCGACTCCACTGGGACACTTTGATCTGAAGAGAGGAGAGGAGAAGCACACTGATCAGAGGTGGATGCAAGGTACAAACAGGGGTGTGTAATGTATAACGTCTACGATAATATATTCATTGCTGTTTAAGTAATGCGTGAGCTGACGTTATCAAGTATGTCACTCACTTTACAAAAACAATCAAAAATGCCTTGAGAGTCCGCACATTCACTGCCTCAAGAAGCCACGTAGGATAGACTGCTGCACAGGCGCATTTAGAGTGCACACAGAGTCACACCACAAGTTAATCAGACGTAGCTGCCTAAAAATGCATTAGCAAAGTTAAAAATGATTGAACAACCAGCGCCAGGAGACAAAATACAAACACCACCAGCTCTGTAATTCACACTGTTAATTGCTAGATGTGGATCATTCTCACTCGCATGGAGGCATTTTGGCTTTGAAAAGATGGACGTTGCTGTAAAGACAACTCGACATCTTGTTTCACCATCTGCAAAACTAACCACCGCAAAGAATATGATGGTACATGAAAAGCTCACCTGCAGCTGACAGGATTAAACCAGTCAAGGTACCAGCACACAAAAACACTCAGCAAACTGTAGCGGAATCGTTCTGCAAAAGTGATTTTAATGTTTGTGTACTGTTTCACTTGCTTCAGTTTTAAGTAAATAAATCATTGATTTTCTTAAATATGTTTTTCCATTAATATCATTAGTAAGCAGCAACAATTATTATCCTATTAACAACAGCGACCTTCTACAATAAAACACTGTTTACACAAAAAATTCAGTAAACTTTCCAGGTAAAGGTGCGGACTGCCCGACTCGGCCTGCATGAGATTCCAACAGGATTGTCCGACACAATCCTGATTCATTCAGTATTGATCAATAATGGTAATAACGGTTAGTTGCAGCCCTAGAGGTGAGAGTACCTGTGTGCTACTCAGAGGTGGCCCATGGGATTGGATGTGTCAGTCAGGCCTGGATGCACCCCTGTGTGGCCTTGCTGGGTGTCACCGGAGCTCCCAGACACCTTCTCCTCCTCCCTCCTCTTAAGGCAGGCTGCTTTGGGGTTCAGATTCCGCTCTGCAGGTTCAGAGAGACATAAATCAAACTTTTTTGCTACTTCTTTAAGGACAAAGAGCTTTGCTCTGTTAAGCTTCTTTTTATCACACCACAGGAAAAGCATAAAAACAACATGACATGGCAGCATTTCAGTGAGTGGATGAAGCTTTAAGAAGGTACAATCTTTGACTTCAACATAATTTACTAACTTTAATATTTAAAACATAGCTATAGCAAGCAGTGACATCATCAACTGGTGGATTAGCAATGACTTTTCAGCGATGCTAAGTCATCTGCTGGACACTGACCTCTGACTTGCTGCTCCAAGCTAAGTATGACAGCCACAGCCTGGTGGAGGATGAGCAGTTTAGTCTGGGGCTTCTCACTTTTCAGGTGCAGCTGGCACATGCGGCCCAGCTCCTTGAAAGCCTCGTTGATGTCTCGCACCCTCAGGCGTTCACGGGCATTGTTAGCCATCCTCCTCTCGCGCTCGCGTTCAGCCTTCTGCTCTGGATTCAGCTCCTCATCTTCAGTGATGCTGCGGGAGACAGAAGAAATCTCAAATCTGTTTTACAATTAAACATGCAACTAAAGCAAATGTACATTGAAACTAAGGGGAGGGGGCCTATCCAAGTTCAACGTATCGGCATTAATATGTTTCTGTTTATTCTTTATTAAAAGGAAGAGTATGGATTTTGTAAATAGAGCTGATGAAAAATCCACCATGTTAAGCCTAAACATTTTGTTCTGCACTGATGTCAAACTCTGTCACTGACAGAAATGCATCATACTTGTGTATGTATAATGAAATTTTGTTCAGAATTATGTGATGAGCATTCAAACTTGGTGTCACAGTTCCAAGGTTAGACCTCTTATCTTCTCCTTGTGCTGACTGTTCATTCCTTGAACCAAAATCACACAACCGATCCTCAAATTAGGCTTGTTGTACATAGTTCCCAGTTGAAATATTTTTTTCACAGCTAACCAAACACCAGTTAAACTGTTTCACCTGTGGAGAATATTTTGTGTTTGTTTATTGACATGTTCTTACCTTGTGCGTGTGCCTGCTCTGGGTGTCTTCATATCTCTTTTATCGCTCTCATCATCTGACTTGTCATCTGTGGAGTGGCTATCATGCATCTCATCCTTGTCTTGTTTCTCCACCTTTAGCTCCAGCGTGGCAGGCACCTGGCCAGCCAGGCCTGAAGCAAGGCCTGCTGAAGACAATGTAAACATAGAGGTAAGACATAATGCATGAACTTATCCATGTCGTAACACGTTATGCCGACCATACAATAAGGCTGCACGGTGCTCCAGACCTCTGAATGTTTCCACTTGGTGGTTGAGCTCTGTGCTGGAAGTGGAGCCGGCACTGGGCAGGCCTCCATGGCTGTTGTTCAGGTTGGCAGCATCATCAGCGTGGGCGCCCCCCTGCCGCAGCACAGATAGGAAGGACATGTAGTGAAAGGAAGCTGACACTCTCTGAAGACGGTACATAAAACGGTACTTCTGGGTAAGATCTAGTGTCTCTTAAGAGAAAAAAACAGCTTTCAAGTGCCACAGCAGGCAGATATCAGCGAGGTGCCATCCATCCATCCACACAGGTCAAGGAATAAAAACTAGTGTTTTTATACATTCAATATTAAATACCAAGAAATGCACTCTGAAACTTTGAGAAAATTCAGATGGGATGTTATTTTGTATATATTTAAAGACAACTATTCACATTAAAAGCCTTTTCTTCAAAACAAAGGATCTAATCAGTCATTCAAACCCATCATTCCCAGCAATTTGGGAGGGTGTGCTTGGTGATTTGCTGCACAGTAGTATACTGCAGAATGCACAAGAGTGGAAAGCAAAACAAAAGCAAATAAAAGACACCTGTTTAACAATATAGCAAATTATAAAAGCCTTTTTATTTGTACTTGTTTTTTACATTATAATTCACTGCTTACTGCCTGAGTTGTCTGTAACCATGTGTTTAAAATGAGACAAATCCTCCTGTGTTGGGCTTTAAAAGCTGTGACCTCACAGGCCAACCATTTCTTTATGTTGTCCATTCACAATATATAAATGGACAACTCCCAACATGCTGTACCATAAGCTTCCTCCTTCCTGAGGCTTCCCACATGTTCTCAAGCTATTTGACTTCTCTTGTGAGAACAAGGGAAAGGCGGGGAAATCGTCACTGAGGATGGAGAATATCTCCCCCTTTTCTTACGGAATGTGATCCCCGGTCACTGTTGGCCTCTGTTAACCCCACCACTCCTAGACCCTCCCCTTTCTGGGCACTACGCTAATCTTTGCCGGGCTCTCAACAGGTGTCCAAACAACTCTGTCTGGGGGAGGAGGAGGGAAGCCAGGGCTTTGGCAAGAAAAGAACGCTGCCATTTTCATGGCTGGGCCTGATTACCATACAGCTGAGGGACCTCTATTTGGGTGGAGGCTGTGGGTTCAGACACACGTTTCCAAAGATTCAGATTTCCTGGGTTGTTAAAAAGAACTGATGAAAGGGGGAGGAAGGGGGTAGAGGGCGGGGTGTCAGTCGGAGTAAAAAAAAAGCCTGTGGCCGCGCCATGCTGAGGCTAGTGAGCCCTGTCTGAGGGGACCTCTTCCCACATAGGAAGTGCTGTGTTAGAGCAGACACAGTATGTTCTATCTCACAGTCGCAGTCGGTCAACGTCACTGCCACAACCCAGCTCTCTGTAACAAATACATCAAACTGAGCTCTTCTGACAACCACACAGAAAAAATCTTGTTCAGGGACAAACAAGCTATTCTGAAAGATCCAGCAGCTTCTGTGTCAGACTGAAAACACTGCTTTTAAACAAACTGCCTTAAACAAACTAAAATCTTGTCAAATAAATTGTTGCTGGTGATTTGAGATCACAGACCAGCGAGGCTCCTGATAAGAAGCTGGACCAAAACACAAGTGGAATCTTTCTGGTGAAGAATAAACACTGTCAGTTAAAATGTGAAACAAATCTTTTCATTCATACTTTTTTGTTAACAGAAAAACTATGACAGTACTAAAGCTAAAAGAGTGATTGCTTAAGCGGTTAGCTGATTGACGGAATAATAAAAAGCAGCTATTTTGATAACTGATAAACTGTTTAATTCACAATGCCAAACATTCTCTAGTTCCAGCTTCTCAGTGCTTATTATTATACTTGGATGATCCACCTCATTGAAATTTCCACTGCAGATGTGTTCAAATCTCTTGGATCTTTAAAATGAAATACATTGGATGGAGGATGGGTGAACACATCATGATTTATTCTGCATTCCCCTGTTTCTCAAGAGGCTTTGACTCTAAAAGCAGCGCAACACACAAACACTCCCTTCACCAAAGAACAACTTCACTCCATTATGCCTGTTTTTCTCATTTCTTTCACCCTTGTGTATACAGCCGCTCTCAAGAGCAGGCTGAGCCCTAGGCCAGCCATTACACTTACGGAAAATATGTCAGGATAAATTCTACTGTTCATGTGTGGAAAATGTCTAGTTTTTCACATGGCAGCAGACCCAGTTCGAACAGGTGGCCAAGCCTTTTTCTGCTGCGAAGTTAGAAAATGAAAATATAGGAAGACAACGAAGAAATATGTTCTCATTTTAAGCGATAATCTAAACACATGGCAATCTAAAGATCTAAATACTTATGTGAAGTTCTCCTACCATCGCTGCTGTCCGACTTGGAACCAGTGCAGAGGCAGGGAAGTTTGCTCCAATGGCTGCTATTGGCCCATTTGGTGCCTGTCCCAGCAGACTGTGTATGTCACTGGGCAGACTGGTGGTGGAGCCCACTGCATGGTTCCTCAGAACAAGGATTGCATCATCCAATCTGTCCAGACGATCCTCCATTCGAGACTGGGTGGACCAGAAGGATTGAGGAGCCACGGGTTAGGGAGAAGAAATGAAGAGCAGCTTAGTATAAGCACACTGGGGCCAAAGTTTTAAACACTGATTGCATGGTGTGGACTTTAAAATAAAGCAAAACATCTGAAACAGAAGATAAAGAAGGTGATTCAAATGCAAGACCAGTTGAGCCATTTCAGCTTGAGTCATAACAATCGACATCATTTGTTTTAACTGAATAATCGACATGCACTAGAGTCACTTGTGCAATTAATCTAGAATTAACTTCTGCACCTAAACTGATTACTGGAAGCTGGAATGCTACAAAGATAACATAACATGACAACATGGTAACAAAGGCAATGAAACATTAAACACCTTTTTCACTGTGAAGAATGTGGACTGCATGTTGAGCTTGTGGGAGAAAACAAAATGTGGAATGCAAAGATGTATGGAACATGTAATGACTATAGGCTCTATCTGAAGAGTACCTCGCAGACATCCTTTAAGAATGACATGGCATCCTGGAGATGCTCATGTAACTGCTGATGAACTCTGTTTTTCTGGCAAAGTCAAATAAGAATAAGACAAGATTATGAAAAAAGATCAGTATCTATATTTAGCAGAAACATACTGTGCATAGAGATTGTTTTTGTAAAGACACACAGACAAGAAAGGCAGGTTTTGGAAGCTGCTGACCATTCACTTTGTTAGGATGAAGAAGTTTGTTTGCACATTTCAAAACACTTCCACAATACTGGTCATGTCATACAATTACTACAATGCAACGTCTCTTTTCACCATTGTGTATTATGTTGTTCTCTGCTGAATAAAATGTCAGTGTTGTATTCATTACATCCAACTGTGCTTTGCAGTAATGAAACAACAGACCACCTAACCAGGGGTTTTGAGGGGTTTCAGCGTGAGCTGTTTTTCAGAAATGAATACAGACAAGCCTCAAACTAATATATACAACTGTTGGTGACCCGGTCCACTGACGCAATCGGTCACTTCAGCAGTAATCTAATCCTTAACTAGCGTGTTTAGACAGTTGTTCATCACTGTTTCTCTGAAGTAATGGGGCTTTCCAATATCTTCAGTGGCACTGACTCAACTACCAGCAAACCATGATCCATACTGTTGGTATTAAGTGTGAGCACTTTTAGGGTCACTGTTTTCGTTTGGGCCAGTTTTTACTTTATGTCCAGTTTTACAAAGTTTTTAAATTGAAAAGAAACACTGATTAGATTCAAGATTTTTTTATTTAAGTAAAATAAAAAAATAAATACCATGAGTCATTGAGCTCTGATTAAACAGTAGGGGTTGCTCAATTTTTCCATCATGGCCCTTGAGTTGTGGGACGGCATCAGACTGGACCAACCGTTTTTATATAACTAACTAAAAAGTCTTAACCTACCGATATGCAGTTTTTTTTTAAACAACACATGTAATATGAAATACTGCAGAAATAGTGACATACTGTAGTACTGAGTTCACGTTATGACTCGTCAAAAAGCATGTGAGCTGCTTGGTTGTTTTACACTGCTTTTATTAGCAGCTAACTTTCAGGTAATCTGACACTATTCACTTGAATTGTTACTTTCATTTGTGCTGTAACTTATCTTTGGTGGCCATGAAGAGACAAAACAAAAGCTGGAGGCAGAGGGGGAGGAAACATCTTCATTCTCCTCTGCACATGTAATTGGCTGACTGAATGAAACTATGTGATAAGACTGCAACTAGAAGGACTGTGGCCTTGTAAAGACAGGTCCCATATTTTGATGAATTTCAAGCAATAAATGTGTTAAATATGCGGACAGCAGCATGTCTCCGCATGCACTCTTCTACAGCAGCAGCGGACTGGACAGCAAGTAGCTTTTTTCAGCAGTAAACACATCTGTGGGTCAGAAAATACTTTTAAATAATATTTTTCAGTCTTTGACTTAACTTCATCTTTTCTATTATGTTTTTGTTTTGTTAAAATACTATTTAGTAAAATCTGTCTTCATCGCTGCATTTTTTATTTATAAATTATTAAAATGATAAAAGTATTTATGTCATTTCCGTTATAATTAAACACTCTTACTTTGAAAAAACAGAATAAAATGTAAATACATGACATGCATCAGGTAGTAGGTTGGATAAAAGGTGATCTGTAGTGATCTGGTTGCATGGCAGCGAAGGAATCCTGGAGAAGTGGCTCAGCAAACAGCTGCCACCCCTACACCAGCCCCTTTAACTAAACCCATCCCCCAAATGTCATTCCCGGCCTGGTCCGCAGAGGAGAGGACAGATGGCATGCCCCAAGGGACAGGTATTGTTCAGTGTGGTTATCCCTCTACCCCCACCTCAGCAAAACATTTGTCAGAGAGGAATCTCCCTGTAATGCTAGCTCAGTCCTTCTTGAGCAGCTTATCTAAAGTGAGCACCCATCATATCCAGTGCAGACAGGGAGCTTACCAGTGAGTGAAGGGAATTCTCATAATTTGGAGAGGAGGGGGTCTGTCCACCAGTGCGGGGCCACTGGTTGGCACCTGGTCAGGGAGAAAGAGATGTAGCAGAGGTCAACATTAGTAATCCTCTGATTCAGTTACATACAACATAGCTGATAGCTTCTCCAGTGGGTGCGCCAATAGAAACGCTAACTGATACACACACTGGCACACAGTCATAACACACTGACATCCTGATTTTCTGGCTTCTTGTTGTTCTGTGTGAGATATTTTTATCTTTTAGGACTCAACTGCATCACTTCCTGATGGCTGGACTGCATCCTGACACATGAGCCAGTGGAGAGTTTGTCTAACGCCCACTTCTACCATGAAATGTACGCTGCATCTGCGCATTAATAAGCACAGCTATGAGAGGCTGGAAAACAATGTGAGCAGTGACAAGTCTGATTTTTAACACTAGTTTTCCTTCACACTTCCTTTTCCCTGGAAACTTTGAGTCTCTCAACAACACAGAGTGGTCAAAAACACAGTGTGGTTGATAAGTGTTTTGGCATGTTGCTTTAATCAGGGTTTTTGATGAAGAAAAGATGCCAAGCGCCTGGGTTCAGTTGAGCTCCTACTCTTTGACTACATTAACTAGTACTGCTCAGTTATCTTGTTTTTTTGCCTAGAGTATTTAGTGATGAAGTGGTAGTGCAGTTTGTCTTTTATAGGATTCACATCTGGAAACATCAGCGCGCTGTTGTTTCTTTTATTCTAATATTCGCATGTCCCATAAAACTAAATCAATTTTGGCACGTTTTCTCTTTCCAATCTAAATGAAAAATCATGCATTTTAATCACATAATCACAATATGAAGAAATTTAAAATATCCTGCACTAGAGATTACATTTCATTTTCGATTGGAAGGTCACACTGGATTCTGGAGCTTTATTTAAGCCAAAATGTTAAACTACAGGCCAGTACAGGAAAACAAATCAAGCATCTGCTCTGGTGTAAATTAGAGCAAAGTTAAAGGAATCCACATCTGTTCATCACATTTCCACCTCTAGTACAATATTTCTTTCTTTCCATTTTCTAAAGCACAATCATCCAGGTAACCTGCCTGCCATGTGCAACAGGAGGCAATGCATTATCCAATTAAATAAGCTTAATGGACTTAGACAACAATGAACCTTTCCAGGTTATTTACAGGATAGGAGGTCTCCGCTCAGGGCTCTCAGTGCTCTTCTGGTGTCTATTAAGGTGAAAGGAAGCCAACTCCAGCCTACATTCTGGTAAATAGACTCCGCTGTAACAGTCTACAGATCGAGACTTTGCTTTGGTTATTTATCATTTAGTATGATTCTAAAATCTTATTTTGGGTCCTGTTCTCTGCTTATTATACTAGCAAGACAGACCAGGATCAAAGGAATTGTCTATAGCGGTGGGGTCTGGGGAATGCTAACTTAAATAGTAATTTTAAAGCTACAAAGTGCAGAATGGCATTCATGGCCTCATCTGTGAGTAGACTGAAGCACTATTTTACTCCTAATTGTTCAGTGTTTTGACAAATCAAGGCCTATGTGGTCAGATCACATTCACACCAATTCACTGAGTGCAACAGTATGATTCAAAAGCAAAGTGTGACAGGGTGGAAAGTGAGACAGCAAATGTAAATTACACACACACACACACACACACACACACACACACACACACACACACACACACACACACACACACACACAAATTACACATCGCTTAAACTCAGGAAACTAAAAAAGTTTTTCCATTAATTCTTTTCGATGGATTGTCCCACTAAACATCCATGGTCTTCATGTTTCTTTACGCACAGAGCACTGGAAAAAGAAGACTTTAATTAACAGACTATTAAATGTGACTCTGGAGGAGGAAATGAAGAATCTCCTGTTTTGCCTCACTTTTTTCCCAGGTGAATGAGACAGGAACTCCACATGAGCCTCTGCTGGCTGGCGGCTGTGAAAAATTAGCCTGGGGTTCTGGTCCCCACGAGGACCAGCGACGGCTAATTGAACAAACCAGTCTTGAGTAATGTGCTGTATATTGGTGTAATCCCAGTGATGAATGGATTTAGTGGCTAACATTAACAGCGAGCCAAATTTTGTGCCAATCGCTCTTTTTTCTAACCCCAGAAGCATAATAAGGGAGAATAATTAGTGAAACCATATCTATTTCCAACTCTCATTTTCTAGTAGTTTTAAATTTCTTCTATATAAAACAAATTCCATTAATAAAAACAAACACAAATGTTTTCTTGATAAAACTGAAAAAACAAAACAAAACAAAACAAAAAACCCATAAAGCAGTATGCCACACTGTAAATAGGTCAGGAGGGGGATCTCCCTGGGTAAGGCTGTCAGAGTCCTCATCAGCTGAGTCACAGCCACCCTCTTTCACCCACTGGCAGATAAATGAGGCCTTTTGCAGCCTGGTCTGTGTGTGTGTGTTGGGGGGAACAGCTGTCCATGGGGCAGGGCAGCAGCTGAGGACGAGGGGGGGCATACGTAGAGACAGCTGTCACCACTCCATTACCACACATGACACAACTGCCTGGTAAAACAACACGCTGGGCTTTCCCTTACTGACTCCCCTCATTCACTTTCTATTACTCTCGTTCCTGTCAACATGTCAACAATCCATATTCTTCAAAGACACACACAAATAGAATCCTTTACATGTTCTCTGTATTTGTTGCACAATATAAATACAGGTTTGTCTGTCTGTCCTCAGAAAAGCGGACATAAAAACACAAACAAAGGACTTAAATGGAAAAAAGGATTATGTAACATTAAATCAACCCCGTAAATTGTGTCTTATTACAAAGTAAGCAAGTGCCATAATCCAATATTATAAGCAGTTTAAATTGTGGCCAACAGTTTCACAAAAAAAGACAATATGAAAAGCTTTTTATTAGTGCAATTCAAGACCCACTTCAAAGTCTTTTACTGTGCTGGCAAATCTTTTTGCACCCAAAAAAACACAGGCCCAGTCTTTTTCATTTACCCTGTGATTCCAATAAATCTTTTCATCACTTAAAAAAAAAAGCACAGTCTAAAGCAAAACTTAAATGTTATTCCAAAAGCACTTGTCCACTAGATCTAAATTTGTGAACATGAACAAAGACCCTCCTAAAACGCTCAGAGCCTAGTCAGTGATATCGTTGGGAGTCAATGTGGAGCAGCCATGTTGTGGATACTAGACCAGCAAGTCACGTACTGTTTAAGGTGCAGTTGTATTGTTAAAAATGGCAATAAATTTGCATGTCTTTAGTACAACTCACATCTTTGTGTGCTCAGAGACTGTCGAGAGGATGTGGCTAGTAGCCAAATCTGGCTAAATAAAAGATTATCTTCCATTTGCTTGAGACTAATGTTTTTGTAAGGGTTCCAGAAAAAATACATTTAATAATTTTTTTCCCTGTATAATTTCAAATACTTGTCATAACTGTTGCTTCCATAAATGTGCAGCCTTATCCAGGACTAAACTAAGCTTTGTTTTAAAACCGATTAATGTAAAAATTGTACTTACTGCCCTGGCACAGATAAGAGTATTAAATTATGTTTTAGGAAACCTTTTCACACTTCACTCTACTTAGGCTTTAATTAATCAAACTATAGCAGCACCTAGTAGAAGTAATTACATTAATTAAAGTCATATTCATAAAAGCCTCCTAATTAGCCTGGTTATTCCAGGTCAAGGCCTAATTCTTACACAATCTGATTCATGCTTTTTACTGGTGAAAAAGCCTTTAGAAAGTTGTTTCAGAGGAGTAAAGTTTTCATTCTACAGCTGGTATCTAATCTATGTGTATGGGACGTGTGTATGAGATTAAAATCCAAACAGCGGTGCTGTACCTGGCCTTCCAGATGGGGTGCCAGCAGCAGTCACCACAGTACCTGCTGAGGCAGCACCTGCTGTGGCTGTCAGAGGTGAAGGAGAACCCACAGGTGTTGAAGGGTTGGATGGAAAACTACTGCTAGTGTGGTCAGGTGAGTAAATCTGTGGAAGCAGAGAGGAAGAGAACACGATTCATCATCAGTGCACCATTAGCATCCCTAAACTAAAATTTATACTGCTGTTTTCTTTTCTTTTCAACAGCTGTCTTCATGCCAAAACATCATTTATGGGGATTTTATTACCAGGGTTGTCATGAAAATGCTCAGTGCATATAGATGAGATGTTTACAGGCATCTAAGCCCAGAGCACGGCCATAACAAAATGAATCATAAACAATATTCACTTTGATGTCTTGTGTCTGTCTTGCTCTGTATCCACTAGTGTAAGTCAGAAGACTGTGGAAGAAGATTAAGACGATCTGAACTGCTCTTTAAATTAAGTAATATTGCTGAATCAGGGCACTGAAATCTTAACTATTAAATACATTCACCAATTTTAGACCAATTTTAATTCAGAGCAACTATAATTTTCAATGCAAGAGTAAAATGTTTAAAAGTTGCACATGTAACACAAACTACTACAACACTGCCATTTATTGTCCCGAGTTTCTCTAAATTTCCTGAAGAAGAAAAAAGAAGAGCTGGATAATTTTTTATTTTTACTAGTTTTTGTGTTCTGTTCATGCTGCTCTGCTCTTTTAATATAGAAACCATACACAAAATATTATCTTATGACAGTTTTAGCTGTTTGTGTGTCAATCTGTTTGTATACTGCACTGACACAGAATTAAGGAGCAATTAAACACACTTCTGTTGGCATGCCGATGCTTTTCATGCTTCCAGACTATACAAAAACTGAAATCAGCCAAGTAAATGCAACTTCACTTTTTAAGATTTCCAAGGCTAATGACAAGAGTAGGGGTGTTGACAATAATGGTGATATTTTATAAACTGAAATATTGTCAGTAACTATCTGTAACTAGTCAGTAACTATCTGGTTCACACTCCAACTAAGTAGGGATTGCACCTTAATGCTGGTTGCCAGCCAACGTGGAAACAAGAGGACCACTGCACAGTAGTGTTGCTTTCGGCAACGAAAATTATGACTAAATGACGTCGTCAACAAACCTTTATCGCGTGACAAAAACGAGACAAGACGCAACGAAAATGCTGGTCATGTGACGATGACTATAATTAAATATATAATGCAATATTGTTGATGATAAAAAACGAGACGAAATGTTATAACGTTATTTCGTCTAGTTTAGTCGTGTTATTATTATTATTTTGCAGTATTTCTGTTTCCTGTGTCTCGCTTCAGGGGCCGCATCAGACGCGTCGCACTGCGCAGGTGCAGACGCAGACGCAGGCGCAGACGCAGGCGGCATCACTTCCTCAACCACCACTCGCGGAATTATTGAGAAGACGACAACAAACAAAGTTAAGTCTGACACAGAGAAAGGGATCGATGGCCGGCCAGACGGAGTTCGCCATTGGGAGAAAAAGAAGAAACGACATTTGGAAAAACTTTAATTACATAGAAGTGGAAAAGAAAACGAAATTTGTTGTGGAAAAAGATGGGGAGAAATGTGGCCACAAAATCACACAAAATGTGTATTGGATGTACTCCTGAGGCTATAAGGTAACAATAATATAATAAGATAACCTTGTTTGAAATGGGTTTGACTAAAAGAAACGTTTGGTTTCATCTATACTACTAGGTACTTATACTCTATAGACTGGGTTAAATAGAATTGCATTACTAAAAAGAGACTAAAATACAATTTTCATTGACTAAAACTAGACTAAAATGTCATCAGTTTTCATCGACTAAAACTAGACTAGACTAAAAAGAGTATGAATTGACTAAAACTAATAAAAACTAAAATGACAGCTTCACACAAAGACTAGACTAAAACTAAAATGAAAACAGGCCACCAAAAACAACTATACTGGTAGTAGCTGGCTAGGCAGCTACTACCAGTATGTGTGGCTACCATGTCACCATGTCAGAGGAAATGAAAGCTGAGAGAAGGGCACTCTACCTGCACCTGAGAGGCTGAGGATTAAAACAGTGATAAAAATTGTTGCTCTAAAATATGCAATCACATGAAGACAACAAGTTCCTGATAAAGGAATCCCAAACAAGTGCCTAAAAGTAAAGTTATGGTTACATACTCTCTCTCTACCTTCCTGCTCTTTCAAATGCAGTAGATATCATGATAAAATTGCTATCTAGAATGTTTTTCGCTACGATAAGCATATAGTGCAAATATGATCTTGTGATAGCCCTAGCTGAGATTCAAATTCACTGATCAAACAAATTCAGAACATGAATTTCACCCAACACAGAACTGCACCAAAATATAAACAAATAATTCCAATGATTAAATGAGCACACACTCACGTGTAACAGATTGAATGAAGGTCACAATCTGAAAATGCCCTGCAGCTGAGAAGTCAGTATTGTACTGGCTCAAATTGAATTAGAAGATATGAGAAACTTTTAAAAAAAACTTGCAGTTTTAAAGAAGCGCTGCTTATTTTCCACTTGTATGAAAACATAATGCCTGTACGAATCACTCCAGTTATTATTCCACTGTGGCTTGAAGAAGTGCAGACGCCCAACCTGGAAACCCCGTTAAGCCAACACCAGAAAACCTCATGGGTATTTCAGCCTGCAGCCAGATTGCGTTGTGAACCATATATCAAAATCTAGAAGTATTAAACTGTTGTTTATTTTTGTATCTCGCTAAACTTTGTAGTCTCAGTGAGGACCACAACTAGGGCAAATGCTTTGATTTTCTGCATAATGCCACAAATGAATCAGTGTTACTTCAGATTTATTGCTATGATAAAAGACAAACCACAGGAATGTTACTGTGTCATTGCCCCCTCTGTTAGGTTACACCGAGTTTTAGGATGGCATGTCAATCACAATGGAATGAGGAGATTACGCCTTCAGAACTTCCACTGAGATTTCATTTGTTTAAACAAATGCTGGATTAAAGCACAAACACGTCCCTGATTTCTTCCCTTTAATAGGATACTGAGCTGTAATGGAACATGTCTCAGATACCTCCGAATATTATGGGTGGATCCCGAATAATTAGCAGAGGAAAAAAACCGGATCCACAGAGATTTCTCCTCTGAGTTTAGGTCAAACAGAGCTCGCAGGAAACCATTTGGACTTCACTGGGGAAGACAGAATGCACTCGTTATTAATAACCTCCTTATTCAATCTTGATCTCTGGGCTTTAGTTAGAGTTTGAGGCCATAGATTTTACTGAAGTGTGTCACTGAGTGTGGGGGAGGAGGGATTGGTCCTTGTCTAAAAGGAGGAATGACTATTTGTTTTTTCTACACTCTCAGTGTTTCTCTCTGTTCAGCATTTTCACTCTCAGATGAGCAATTCATTCAAAAACTAAAGAGGACCAACGGTGGGTCATTACTGGGCCGGGAACCAGTGAGGCAAAACAAAATACAAAATATTTCTTAGTTTCTCATAAAGCAAGTTGTTCTTAACTGTGACTTCTGACCTGACAATATATGACTTTCTATTCTTTCACTCACTGGCTACTAACGCTGCATTCACAGTGAAACATGGCTCATTTTACTGGAATAAATGAAGCCCCGCCTCATCATCAGTTACGCTCCCGCAGGCGGCATGGGGCCAACAAGCACAGCCAATTTAAAAGGGCGGAGAACAAAAGCTTCACAAAGGGCGGCCCGTGGAGTTGAGCCACAGCAGTTATAAACTCCCCAGTGCCCCCTGCTCCATCCACCCACCCCCACCCCAGTCCAACCGTGTCCATTACACTCCAGCTTTGTCATGCTAATAGAATTGAGTCTGCAAATATAAAGGACTTAATTAGTTATTACCATCCCTAAAATCTCATATTTTGGATTCACACTAGTCAGAAATACTCCTCCTAAATGTAGAGTTTGTGCTAGAACATGTGAAATTAAAACTAATATCAACATGTTAATGCACATATCATGTGCATGCACTATATTAAACAGCAGTTTTCATTTTACTGAAGTAATAAGGTTGAGATTTACAAAATCAAAAGCATAATTTAAGACAAAGGCCCAATCAGATAAATGGAAATAGCAAATACAGTTTCTGCAACATATTCTCTCATTCTCTCCTTACATTTAATTATATTCAATTCACCTCTTGGCGAAAGTCAAAAACTGAATAAAGCTACCTTCTGCCATTCTGTCTTGCTTGATGTGTTCATGGGAGAAACGATTCTTGTTTCCATGTTTGAAAAGGTTTCTCTTTTACTTTGTGACAGAGCTTCAGTGGAGCTTTACACAAGACACAATCTTTCATAACTTATATTCAATCTATGAGTCGATGTGTGTACAACCACAGGGAAGAGATACAGTATTTCTTCTGTGAGCTACAGAGGAACAAATACTTTATACGAAACATTACAAGACATCGCAGACACCCATGGCTGCTTTTACAAAGTGTAATCCACTGGCTTTAGGAGTCATTTTATTGTACAATTCTCTTTCTTGAATACACTTAGTTTAAGCCCACAATTATCCAGGCGTAGGCCCAAAACAACTACAAACATGTCCTCTGGGCTTTTTTAATCAGCATCCAGTATAGCACTTAATTCCCTGCGTGATTACTGAGGTCACCTTCTTAGAGACAGAAATGGACCATAATTCTATTTAGATTTGCAGAAAAGTCACAATTTGTTCAGAATATGTGTGCACAGAAATGAGTTTCACACCCTGAGGAGAGGTCAGACTTGAAGAGACACACACAGTCATCTGTGCAGCTGAGAGCAAAAGCTTAAGCCACACTGATGCTATCCAGAAAATAATAACATTTTCTTTTGCAGGGAGTGAATTTGCCCTTTTATTGTAGTTCACTTTAATCAGGAATGCATGATGCAATAAACCGTACTCCAAGTTAAAAGTGGGGTTATAACTCACCGAGGCTAAAGCTTTGCCTAGTGCATCTCCAGTCTGTGAGCTTCCAGTGGCGTTCCCCCGATTTGCAGCAGCTAAGAAAGCACAGAGTGCAGCTTTGTAATAGCAAAGTCAGACAAATGAAAAGCGGTCATGGTACACAAAGCACCTGTCCGACTCACTACAGTTTACAGAATGGATGTTCAGCAGTAATTACATTGAGAACCATTGAAGTGTCATTCTGAACAGGCAGCAGAACTGTTAACATGCCAACATACCCATGACCACATCGGCTGTATTGACGGATGGGGTGTGCGCTGCGGTGACAAATGGTGAAGTGCTGGTGCTGCTTCGGTGGAAGCTGGACATTGGAGGAAGACTGGCATTGACATCTGGAGATACTGAGTGTGCGGGATAATTCTGGAAGATAAAAAACATAAAGGCTTTATTTTCAGTCACAAATGTGAATGAATGTGTGTGAGAGAAAGAAAGAGCTTACTTATCCTATGAATTTTAAATTCTCCTTTGACATCTCCAAGTCTATGATGATGCAAAAGTTACTAGGGGGAGGGACAGAGATAAATAGGCAGCATCTGCAGGCGCCCTGTGATGCCCAACCAGCTGAAGCAGGCAGGCAGACCAGACCAGATCAAACGCCAACACAAAGAGGGTCAGCGATGTCCTTACTCATATTAAGCAGACAACAATTTAAGATGCACACACCCATTTCAACTATAGAGGCTGTGCTGAGGGGGTGCAGGGCTGTAATGCTGCCACTGGATCTCTTATGCAAGTGTGACAGTAAAACAAAGTTACTAACAATCATTTATCACCTAGAGTTAGGAGAGCAGTGCTGCTTACCAAACGGTCGTGTGTGTGCAGGCTGCTGTAGTTTCCTGACTGTGGCATGTGAGAAGATGATCCTGCAAGCATTCCCCCATAGCCAGGCTGATTGATCCCATTGGATGAGTTCCACGGGTCAGATGAACTGTGGGTACCATCTAACAATAATAACAAATGAATCCTTTTAGTATATAATATAGACTAGAATTGAGGGGCACGGGTAGTTCAGTTTGACATGATGCCAGGCAGCAGCTGACTTCCAACCTTAACCTTATAACTTGGGATCAATCCAAGTACTTTATATTTATGCTTTTGGGAGTGAAACGTGAATCTTGTCCCAAAGACAGCTGAGATAACAAAGCTAAAATCAACAAAGTCTGCTTTTCAGTCTAAATCTGGGACTCAGTCACATGGAAAAAAGACTGAGCACAGACTTAATATTAACAAATACTGCTGAAACAATTGAATCTCTATGGCAACATCAAAAAAACAGCACTGACAGTAGTTTTATACAGTATTTTAGCCTTGGTATGTCATTGATTGCTACAAATGACAAAGCATGGTGAATTAATCAACTATGCTCCTGAAAGAAAAAAAGCAAATAAAAAAAAAAAAACAAGCTAGTCAGTAAAACACATATTTTGCACTCTACTTGAAAACAAAACAAAGAGAATATAACTTTGAAACCTGTTATATAAGAGGACATTAGGATTAAAAATATTATGCTAAATTCTATTCACCTGAACACTGGATAGTTCTTTTAGGAAACTCAAGAACTGCAAAGTCAACAAGGTAACTTGATTTTGAACTTACCAAAGAAAGTGCTTGCAAACATACTGCCGGAAGGTTTGGGAGAAGGGTAAGAAGGTGAGTCTCTGTTGAAGTCTTCTGAGTTTGGAGACGGTGCATACACCTGCCAGGAGAACATAAATGTTATTACTATGGCCCACCATACAGCAAAAGTACTGTGAGATCTGTTCAGCTGCTGCCACACAGTATTGTCGAGTATGAAGACACTGACACATATGAAAACTGTCAGCTTTCTTATCACAAATCCTATGAAGTAAACACTTCACACACAAATGCAAAGTATAATCACAATTAAGAATTTGGGTACATACAACTATGTGATAGCACACGCATATAAACACGCACAAGTAAAAACACATGTACTGTAGATATAGCCCTAAAACCACAAACACACGCACTCACTTTAATGACTGGCAAGCAATCAAGCTCATGAAGGGAGGAGTGGATTATCAGGGGTATTTGCATTTCAGATCAACTCGGCTTCTAATGGAAGTATAATGATACCCGCTTACATGCACCGACTAAATGTCTGGCAAATTACAGCATTCCCAGTGAGACAGAAATCAAATAAGTGGTACAAAAGCAGCCTGCTTTGCTTTCTTTATATTTGTACCTGCGAGCTGGTGGTAGAGTGACAGGAGAAGCACAATGGGCATGCTGTTGTACAGCTGTGTGTGTGCCAAGCTAGGCTAGAGGATCAAAGACAGTGGAGGCCAAGCACCAGTGATGTGGTCTCTGACTTCATCCACTCCAGATGATGAGAGAGGGGCTGAGTGAGTGAGAAAGAGCGCCAGGAAGGGAAGATGGGAGAGGTTTGAACAAATTCTCCCTCCCACAGACAGGACTGGATGACTCCACCATCATGTAACACTAATCAGAGCCAGACCTGCCAGCTAGGTTCCACCTGCACATTTCCAGCTCGTGTCCCATACTCTGCAAGATAAATCGCTCTTTTTACAGCCTTACATCGCAATCAGGTGTTGGCATTAAGACAGCTCATTCCTCAAACACCGGTCTGTAATGCTTGCAGATGTGATGATGGCCAGAAAGGCTGTTTACTACTTAATGCTTAACCCAAGTTTCTAAATTCGATTCAATCACTCGCTCACACACGTGAACATGATATCAATGCAGAGCGTAGCTTAAGGGGGACTCAGGGCTGTTGGGTTTTGCTGAGTAAGCAGGACTCCAGCGTGTTGTTGTCTGGGTATGTAATTAAAGTGCTTTGGGAGGGGTGGAGCTCTCATGGGTCTTCTGGCTTACACATGTGACCAGGGTTGATAGAAGTTCCGTGGAGATCTCAGGTTAGCCTCGTGCAGCCGCCCAGGCTTTTGTCTTTTGCCTCTGTCAGACACTCAATGGGCAGCATATGGCAGCAGATAATGCTAATTGTCCTTTTTTACACTGGGGTAACCAGTCAAAGCATTAATAAACCATCCCAAACACTGGGTGCCTCATTCCACTGGCCTATGCAAGAGAAGGCCCGTCTGGGTTTCCTTTTACAAGGCCATTAATTAAAAGCTGTCACTCACATGGATCAGCACACCAGCACAGACCTACACCAGTTATTTGAGCATCAGTGGGTATTTGTTATTAAAGAAATATCTTCCCTTCTGTTCCCTGTCTTTCACCAGTGTTCACACATCATAAACTGAGGCTCAGTAAGATAAAAAAATATATATATACCTTGGACTGTGAATTCTGTTTTGGATTGTGTAACTTGTGGTGTATAACATTCAGTAAGCTTATATATAAAGCTTTTAAAGAATTATCAGGCCATCAGGAAAAATCTAAGATACTGCAAAAAATGTTTATAGGATTAAAGCACAAAGAACATCACTGCGACAAATCTGTGGCGATGACTTGACAGCTGCTGTTTGTGTAAGTACAAACAACAGGAGAACGAAGAGGCGTAAGTTTCATGATGAGGGATAATTTTACGTCCCAGTAAGTGAATGATACACTGTGAAGACTTGTGATTTAAGGTAACAACAGAACATTTTGAGCTGTTGGTGAATAATTCCTTGCTTCACATAAAAGATAAGGTAGCTTGACCTTGTCTTTCAACAGTTCTCTGCCTCAGCTGAGAAGTGAATATATCCTGCACACCTTCCACCACATCTCCAAGACTGTGGGACCTGCCTTTGAAGTTCATGTCACACTGATCTAAATATTAAATGTCAACATACAATCTGTCGGAAAACACTAAGGGTAAAACATAGTAACAGGAAGGGAAAGGGAATAAAAAATAAATAAAAGGAAAAATAAGGCGAACGGCCAAGAAGCTGGAGGAGAAGGATTCAAACACACTCTTAATGGCGTGTCCTGTTTTTCTGCTGTGCATCATTAGTTGGAATCAAACCATATCTCTGGGGCTTTCTGGTTGAAGTCCAGATTTTACACACTCATAAGGCTTAACATGCACAACAGACCCAATACCTCTTCAAACCACTGCTCAGCTCGGGCCGGCTTGGCGGGGCGTTATTCAACACTGTTGTGTGATACCTGCCAGCGATTTCAGGAAAATAAAAGGCTCGGTATTTTCCAGCATAAAACATTAAACCTACAGTCCCGCAGAAACCATCTTTCACTGGCACAGTGTTTGGACAGACGAAGCTAGTTTGACATGAGGAATATTTTAAGGAGATGCAAAAGTTTCCTATAAGCCTGAAAGAAACTGTTCACACTTATTTGGTAGAATTAGTACTACGTATTGTCTTATTATGCTAAAAACCTATTAGTAAGGCAAGCCAATAATACCTTATATGACTACATACTACAACGCAAGTTAACATGTAACCACAGGTGGAAAACACATCATGAGCATATACAAAACAATAAAGGAGAATCTATTTTACATTCTAACTTATGTTTTAATAATCAATATATTATTATTAGTAATCTGCCTTTAATGTCATTAGTCACCTTAAACATTTTACTGAATTCAAAACACACTTGATATGTCCCCAGTTTTCTTAAAAGTAACTTAAAACCCAGCATGTTTTCTTCTTCTTGTTGCAAAGCAGTAAAATGTTTTATCCAAGTGCACATTCTGACAGCAGAGCAGCCTCCTGGGAGTCAGGTCCTCTGAAAATAGAGCAACAACCACACTGCAGATTAATACCTTCCGTCATTAATGGAGCAAAAGTTTGGTTTAGGCATCAATGTAACCTCATTAACTAGTCACAACATGTGTGTTGTATACATAGTGTCTACGCAGTAGGTCAACACACACAGGCACACCACCACCCCCACAATGACTTTGTGTAGCACATGCAGTCAAGCATGCATGCTTCAGTGCATGTGCAACATATGTACACATGTGGGGGGTCTAAGGATTAGCTTCTGGTGATGAAGCATCTAGAAAGCACAATTTAACCTGTTGCACTACAAAACTAACAACAGCAGGTATGCCCCACCTATATGAACACATTGTCTCCTTTGTGTTTTTACTATTTTCTGATCTTATCATCAGATCTTATCTTTTACTTGTGGAGGCAAATATTTCCAAACAAGGAAAAAGGTCCAACAACACTGCAGGACTTTCGCTTCAGTTTTTTTCCCCACTAACAAGCAACAGAAGAAAGATCAGTGAGTTGCTCCATCTGTATTTGTTCGGTACCACCAGCTTACAAACCAATGGCCCACCGTGAATTCTCCCAGTGGTCCAGATGGTGAGTCTGCTATGCAACTCTGCATTTTACCAAATTAATGTGGATCGAGTTGATAAGCACCATCTTTCTTTACCCTTGCAAGGACAACAGAAAAAAAGAATTTGTGCTGGTTATTTAACAAGTGCTTTTGATCATAAAGTTTGCCTGTTCTGACCACATGATATCAATTTTCTCCCCATCACCATCTGTAACACAAGCCTCTTAATACTTCATATGAAATAGATCAAAGTCATTTTTCATGCAGTGGAAAGAAAATGCACTAATGGTTATGACGACAGCTGAAACACAAGCTTAAGTAAAATAACCGTTTCATTACAATATCACGAAAAGACAACCTTTAGCTCTCCTTCAAATGTATGTATCCTTTACATAAATAGCAAATATAGCTCAGGCAATGATAGGTGGAAATCTGCCTGTGTAATTTGCTTATAACAGGGTCATTATTAAGGATAACAGAAATGTGCTAAACAGCTCATTTGGCTATTGTTAGACTATGTCCCTGAGGAGATTCAGCAGCCCACTGGACTGTTTTTATGAACGCTTCTTACCAAAAACAGGAAGAACACCTAAAAACCTTTTGCGACACCCGGTCGATCGTTACACCTATAACTTTACTCAAAACAACAGTGAAAACTCAGTTCCTTCAAGACCAAATGCAGTATATTCACACACACACACACACACACACACACACAACAATGTATTTACAAAGAAAGTACTCGCACAGAAAACTTTTTCATAATGACAACAATCAAAGAGATCATTACAGAGAAGTTCAGAAAACACAAGAACAAGCACAGTATATACACACACACACACACACACACACACACACACACACACACACACACACACACAACAATGTATTTACAAAGAAAGTACTCGCACAGAAAACTTTTTCATAATGACAACAATCAAAGAGATCATTACAGAGAAGTTCAGAAAACACATTAGGCTCCCTGCGGTGACAAGAATGCCAAAGTGATTAAAAACATATGGACTAACAGCAACACTGGTGCTTGGAGCTCAGTCTGCAAACAGGAAAGTCTAACCTCAACAGGCAGCCTCTTTCCCTTAATCATTCCCAGACTCCCACTTGTTATTATTTCAGGCCAGTCTCAGAGTTAAAAACCCCAGCCAGTAAAAATAAATTCAAGGCTGCTAAAAACGATTTCTGCTGCACCGTGTCATTCTGTGCAAGAGAAAAACTTATGGAGATGGAATAACTTGTTAAAAAATATTTACTTGTTTATTCAAAGCTGAGGTACATAGTAGAATAAGAAAGCATGCTCAAATAAGTTTATAACACTATTAAGACATTTCAACTGAATTATTTTGACTGCACTGTCACACAGCTTTAATCGATGTAATGGAAAATCAGAGAGAGGAGCCTCAGCACATGCATATATATACACACACACACACACAC